CCGCGTACTTAGCACTATAGAAGGACGAGGAAGCTGACTCTCCATTATAAACTCGTGCTCGATCAGTCTAATAGGATCATTATCCTCGGAATCCTCACTATCGCTGATTGGTTTAGGTATATCAGTGGTAAGCTCAGCCTCTCTCTGTTCGTCTGCTTCTTATATTAAATCTAAGGACGTATCCTCATCGGGTAGTTCTTCTATTTCAATATCGAACTAGGTTTTACACCGGAATATCATGATATCCTGGACTGTCTTCGCACTCAGCCGCCCACGTCGGTAGTGGCAGACATCCCGTGCTGAATTAAAAAGACGTTCAACTCTAGCGCCTATTGTAGGAATAGAGAGAATATCGCGAGCAAGACTTGAAAGAATTAGGAATTTATTCTTATATTCCTTCCAGAATTGTAAAGGATCGACCTTTCTCCTTGCTATTATAGGTATTAGTATTCCCGCTCGTAATAATAGTGAATATAACGTACGCTTTTCAAGGTATCTAGCAAGTTCGTGCTCCGACGTTAATAGATCAGAGTGGATATAAGGCAGAAGGTTAAGGAGGGCGTCTAGGTCACTTATACTAGCTGAGTGACGCTTAGGGGGTTGCTCTTCTCGTAGGGACCGTGTCTGAGTGTGTCTTTAGGTGTAAGGAGCTATAAACTCGCGAAGCGTTTCCTTATACTAATCACTCCAGTTTATATCGTTCTCCGATATACCCCACGCCTTACTTAAGAAGAAGTGAAGCTTATACTAGGGCGTAAGAATTGTTCTAATCGCGTAGAGACTACTATAGATCTCTTTCGTCTTTATATAGTAAGAGGTAAGCTTTGCCATCCTAGTATTAAGGGCTTATAGCATCGCCTTCTTCTAAGGTATGGTTTTCGGAGTGAGTCGTGTAATCGATTCCTCGAAGTGCTTAAAGAGGGCGTTATAAATACCAAAAATATGATGTACTATTATCTCTTTAGTCTTTGAAAGCACTGTGGTAAAGCGGTAGAACGGCTCTATGATATACAGAAGGTAGTCGACCTGTCGCCATTCTGCCTTACTAAGTTTGTATTTCTGAGTCCCAATATTATCACAGTATTTATCGCAGGGCTTACTAAGGCGTTTCGCACGACGAAGCATCAAGAAGGTAGAATTCCAGCGGGTGCGGACATCTTAGATAGGCGCAAGTTTTGCTCCATTAGTCTAGAGACGGAAGAAATCATCGCGACGTTAGGGGCTTACATTAATAAATACAGTAAGCCCTCGAATCTAGATAGTTATTAGATATATTAAGTAATAAATAAAGTGATACACTTACCTTAACAAGGGTTTATACAATGACTTATTCACTCTGTGAAGCACGGAGCGATCGAGCTTAGGCTTAGGCTTGGACATCAGAAACATTCCGATCTATGGTATCATTCTAGGGATCGGCCTTCACTGATCCAAGTAGCTCGCGAAGGCTTAGCTGGATAATATGTGTAAGACAAGGGATTCGAACAACCACCGGGCTATTCGGTAGTTTAAGGGAGTCAATAGAGTCTTGAACTGCCTGTACTAAAGTTGTGTTATTTAACGCGTTATCTGATATAATCGCTAACACACGATTAGTAATATCAAGCTTCTTAAAGATCTCTATAAGCACTTCACTTAGATTCACACCAGAATACGCCCTATTAAGTGGTTCGAAACTAAGTAGAAGCTCACGGTAATTCTAGTCTCGGTCGATAAAGTACCCTATGATTACTATAAATGCCTGCTGAAAAGGCGATATCTAGCAGTCGAGGGCGATTAAGAGCTTCGCATCTTATGGTAAGGTAGCGAGAATTGTATATTGCTCCTCGTCGACCAATTTCTTAAGCCGGCGTTAAGTAGTGCGAGGATAGAGTAAAGTGGGTTCAGCTGGAGCCTTTTATGCCATTCGAATCAAGGAAGCAAATTGCTTCCTCTCAAGTATCCGGAAAGGGAGGTTCAGACTAGTAAGATATTCAATCTGCTCTCTTTCCCATTCATCATTCGAGAATTTTAAGTTATAAGATAACTCTAGTGCCTGATATATAATATGTTAGTTATCTTAAAGGGTATAATCATATAAGACTTACCGGTATATGCTATATGGTCTCCTTAATCGACTGTTATATAGACTTGCTTTTACCACCCTTTTGGCATTTACCTGAGGCTAGATGCCGCTTGAGTGTGTTGGTGCCGCTTTGCTTTGTACTTGGATGAGGTAATATAACCCCACACGTCCGACATATAACTAAAGGTTCGCCTATAATATGATGTGCTACCTGGTCGAAGTTCTCCTAGACATCTGATATATGTTTTGCATCCCACCGTAGCCTACCGCGTACTGTGGTACGCCACCACTCGATAAACTTTACTTTAGACGTGTTGTTCATCGCGTCGTAGAGGATAAACTGCTTTCTCCAATCGGGGCCGACGCGTTTGAGAGAGTAATCAAGAATAGCCGGTTGAGTGAACTCGGACTCTATCAGTGAGATAGAAGTCTGTTAGCTGTTGAAGAGACTAGGATCAATATTTGGATCAAGGTTGGGATCAAATATATCGGCGACGTAGGAGAGGTCTAGTTGGGAGCTCGGAGGAAGTGAAGAAGGCCCTACGGTATAGGCACTAGGTTAGGACATGGTTAATGTGATGTAAGGGATAATATAACGACTATAGGAGAGTGAGTGATCTGAACTTACAATAGGTAACTTGCGACCGTGTGAAACGAGGATTACTAGTAAAAGGGGTGCTTTGTATAGATCTGATAGATCGTAAATTAAGTGTAGACCCACTATATGTTATAAGCTCATTGGCTATAAGTGTCTTTGTCCATGGGTATGCCCGTGGGCACGCCCGTGGGCACGCCTATAGGAACATACCTAAACGCCCATCTTGAGTTACAATCGAAGGATTTAAAACTCCTAGAATAATAACATAAGTCTTTAAGTGATATAATTGACAGAATTTAGTGATATAAGCTTATAAAATAAGAATTATACTAATTATCTTTCGATCTACCTATAAGAAATATACCAGAGTGAGAGATAAAGTAGAATCCATAAGTAGTATTTTACTTATGGAAAATGCCAGGCATGTACCACTGACTTGAATATATATCTTCAAGCTGTTACAGTATGATTTGATAAGTTAATAAAAATACCACACAACATGATGCATTTCGATTAAAATTTTATTCCAAGTCGTATCATATATATACTAGTTTCTCATATACATAGATATTTCAGTAAAATTTATAGATGTTGTAGATTAAAACTGCCATTTTACATGGAGTTAGCAAAACAGGTGTAAATAACAGTTATTTATTATGCAAAGTCAGCGAGTTATACGTCCATTTTAGGTGACTTTATGCAATGGTGGGCATCGTGGGCATGCCCGTGGGCCTTGGGCGTTATGGACGGGCACTCGAAAATCCAAATAGCCCAACGCCCACCGTGGACGGGCCTTGGGCACCTCCTAGGTGCCCATGGACGGGCGATGTCGCAGTCTATTCAACACTACTCGCGATATTTGCCATTATCGCCGCGGTCGTATGAAGTCCGAGACTATTGAAGAGTTGATACTATTCCTTTATTCTTTAAGATTTAACCTTGAATTACATGAGGCAAAAGAGCTTAAACGATTCTTCTCTTTAAATGAGATCGAAGCATTAAGAGAGGAAAAGGACGATAAGCTTGATGATGTTGAATTTAAACAGATTAGTGATACAGAAGAACAGCCTAAGAGCTCGGGGGGTTTGATTGATATTGATGATGATAATACTAGTGATGATGATGCTAGCGATCCTCCATTGCCAATTTATAGTACTCAGCCACGTATTTCAGGGAGGAAAAGGAAGCATGTAGAGGATGATATGTATCAGTCTCATTAGTTTACACTGGATTTAATCACAATACATTGATATATGCGTGAACGAATCAACGATTTATTGAATTTGAAGTGAACGATGTAATCGAAATACTCAAAATTACTGGGAATTCCTGCATTATTTGCGCAGTCACGAGAAATTGGCATGTTTGCACTGTTTAGTCGTAGGGGAGGGGGGGGCGGGGGGCCCCCCCTCGAGCTGTGGGCCCAAGCCTAAAGCCCGAAACTCGCTGTGGGCTTTGACCTTAGGCTCGAAACCCGACCCTTTTGAGGGCCGGGTCGGGTCGGGTTTCGGGCTTTTCGAGCTTTGCGGAAGTCTAGACCTAAGCCCAAGTCTGTGCTAGTAATGGACAACGCATCCTTTCATCACTCTGACCGAATAGAGCAGATGTGTTCAGAAGCTGGTGTAAAGCTAGTATACCTACCTCCATATTCTCCAGACCTGAATCCCATTAAGGAATTTTTTTGCTGAGTTAAAGGCCTTCATTCGGCGACATTGGCAGTCCTACGAAGAAAACACGGACCAATGATTCGATACCTTCCTCGAATGGTGTGTTGACACGGTCGGTGCAAGGGTGGAAAGCGCAGAGGGACATTTCCGCCACGCAGGTGTGACCGTAGAGGAGATATAACGAAGCTACGGCAACAAGTTCGAAGCCAATCTCAGTACTTACCTCTTCAAATGGGCTATTTTGCGAACCGTCTTGCAAACCGCGCCATGGATGCTCTTTTACGGCAAGATGCATCGAACTTCAATCTGTAATTACTAAGTCATCAAGTCATCCAAAGCAACAAGGTTATTAATAATTGGCGTGGCTCGTCGGTTTGTAAAATGACATCTGTGAGTGGTGTTTCAAGTATGAACTGCCTTACCAGTCAATAGCGGATTTGATAGAAATAAATGCCTTTGGTTTTGTGATTCATTCAAACTATCCCATTTACTTAGAGTTATTTGCCTTGCTTGATGAGTCTACGTGTAGCCTTCAAATTAGAAAATATAACTTGATTTTTGCTCGATGTAGTAGGAAAGTCACCTGATAAAGCATGAAACACCCCTCACTTTTCGATGCTTATAATAACCTCTCATCAATTTATAAATCACATCGTCTGCCACTTTAGGTATGGAATCAGCTTCGTTCAGTGGGAAAAACTGGGGGATTCAGGTGGGGATAAATCATGGGAATATAAATCTCCATCCAGGTAGGTCATTTCTGTACCATAATCACTTTAAGAGGCACAGAATTTTACAAAACTAACATTTGATATTGGCTATAGATATAGGGCCTCACTTTTTCAATACCTCTCCGTATCGGGATCATAAGGAAATCAATCCTTCACGAGTTAAGGACACATGTAGATGGTTTATAGACCATCCAATTTTCCAAAAATGGAAGACCAGCAGCCATGACGATCTCCTATGGTTGTCAGCAGATCCCGGCTGCGGCAAGTCTGTGCTCTCCAAAGCTTTGATCGACGATCGGCTGGTTGATGACGGGTCGGCCTCTATTTGCTACTTCTTTTTTAAAGATAACGAAGAGCAGAACAACACTGTCACGGCCATCTGTGCCCTTCTACATCAGCTATTTTGCGCTCAGCAAGACCTCTTCCAAAAGCATGCCGAGAACCTAGTACGTCAGCACAGAGAGAGAATCAAGGCAGATTTCAGTTCTCTGTGGCAGTTGTGGTTATCTGCTACGTCCGCCTCTACTAGAGATGTGATCTGTATTCTTGATGCGCTTGACGAATGCCGCCAACCGGACCGGGGTAGACTCATCAAAGAGGTTGAGCGTTTTTACACCAGATCTCAAGAAAGAGGGCAGACTAGATCGAGAGTGAAATACCTCGTCACAAGCCGTCCATACGGGGACATCGAGTGGGGTTTCGGCGAGTTGACCCATCGCTGTCCAACGATTCGGTTGGCTGCGGATGATGAATGGAAGAAAATTAGTGAGGAAATACAAGTTGTCATGGAGGCCAAGGTAGACGAGATTGCGGAAAAACGACGTCTCAGCAACCACATTCGAACAGCGTTGAAACGGCGATTTGCTCAGATTCCGAACACAACCTATCTTTGGCTGTATCTCACATTAGATGTGCTGAAAACATGTCTTGGCCAAACGGAAAAGAAGTTACTACGACGGATCAATGAGCTGCCTAAAAGTGTCGAGCAGGCGTACGAAGAGATCCTGCAACGATGCGATGATGAGAATGAAGGAGATGGAAAAAGATTGCTGGAGATAGTCGTTGCAGCGTCGCGGCCTTTGACTTTGTCCGAGGTCGATGTTCTCCTGGAGATTCAACCAAGCTCAAGGCGGTACGATGACTTGGACCTTGAAGGCATTGTCGAAAGAAGAAAGTGGATACGCGACGCTTGTGGGTTATTTGTCAGCATAGTCGACTCGCGTGTCTACCTCATCCACCAAACTGCGAGGGAGTTTTTACTCCGACAGGCAGGTGAAAGTGTGAGCATAGGAACATGGAGGCATTCAATCCACCTACAGGAAGCGCATCTGGCACTTTCAAAGGCGTGTATAACTTATCTCCGTTTCGACGATTTTCGGAGGAACCACCTTAAGGACCGCCAAAATTCACCGCAAAGAGAGAATGAGGACTTCCTAGACTATTCTGCAAACCACTGGATTTACCATATGCAACAGTCCACACCGATGGACGAAGATTTCGTTCGTCAGGCAGCTGAATTGTGCGAAATTTGGAATGGGCCATTCTCATTCTGGATTCATCATCATCGATCCATTTTCCAGTGGGATCACCAAATCAGGCGAAGGGCCGACGCTCTATATTGGGCTGCTATATGGGGGCTGCTACATGTAATACCTGGCATTCTCGAAGATGTTCCTCCTGATGCCGAAATCGCCAACGACGTTGTCATAGCTGCGGCAGGAGGCAAGGAATATGGTGAGGCTATGATGGAAGTCCTACTCGACCGACGAGGAGCCGATGTCCAAATCACCGACACGGTGGTCCGTGCCGCCGCGGCAAATAACGATAGTGGAGAGGCTGTGATGAAGCTCTTACTCGACCGACGAGGAGCCGATATCCAAATCACCGACGAGGTGGTCTCCGCCGCCGCGAGAAATTCGATCTGTGGAGAGGCTGTGATAAAGCTCCTACTCGACCGACGAGGAGCCGATATCCAAATTACCGACGAGGTAGTCTCCGCCGCCGCGGGAAATAGGACTACTGGAGAGGCTGTGACGAAGCTCCTACTCGACCGCCGAGGAGCCGATATCCAAATCACTGATAAGGTGGTCCTCGCGGCCGCGAAGAATGAGGGAAATGGAGAGGCTGTGATGAAGCTCCTACTCGACCGACGCGGATCCGATGTCCAAATTACTGATAAGGTAGTCTCCGCCACCGCGGGAAATCGGAGTAGTGGAGAGGCTATAACGAAGCTCCTACTCGATCGACGCGGATCCGATATCCAAATCACTGATCAGGTAGTCCTCGCCGCTGCGAAGAATCGGAGTAGTGGAGAGGCTGTGATAAGGCTTATACTCGACCGACGAGAAGCTGATATCCTAATTACCGATAAGATAGTCTCCGCCGCCGCGGGAAATTGGAGTAGTGGAGAGGCTGTGATAAAGCTCCTACTCGACCGACGAGGAGCCGATATCCAAATCACCGATCAGGTGGTCCTCGCCGCTGTAGAGAATCGGAGAAGTGGAGAGGCTGTGATGAAGCTCCTACTCGACCGACGAGGAGCCGATATCCAACTCACCGACGAGGTGATCCTTGCCACCGCGAACAATAGGGACATCGGAGCGGCTGTGATGAAGCTCTTACTCGACCGACGAGGAGCCAATATCCAAATCACCGACATGGTGGTCGTCGCCGCCGCGGCAAATAACGATAGTGGAGAGGCTGTGATGAAGCTCTTACTCGACCGACGAGGAGCCGATATCCGAATCACCGACGAGGTAGTCCTTATCGCCGCGGCAAATAACGATAGTGGAGAGGCTGTGATAAAGCTCTTACTCGATCGACGAGGAGCCGATATCCATATCACCGACGAGGTGGTCCTCGCGGCCGCGAATAATCAGGGAAATGGAGAGGCTGTGATGAAGCTCCTACTCGACCGACGCGGAGCCGATGTCCAAATTACCCAAAAGGTGGTCTCCGCCGCCGCGAGAAATTGGAGTAGTGGAGAGGCGTTAATAAAGCTCCTACTCGACCGACGAGGAGCCGATATACAAATCACCGACGAGGTAGTCCTTGCCGCCGCGGTAAATAACGGTAGTGGAGAGGCGGTGATGAAGCTCCTACTCGACCGACGAGGAGCCGATATCCAAATCACCGATCAGGTGGTCCTCGCCGCCGCGGGAAATTGGAGTAGTGGAGAGGCTGTGATAAAGCTCCTACTTGACCGACGAGGAGCCGATATACAAATCACCGACGAGGTAGTCCTTACCGCCGCGGTAAATAACGGTAGTGGAGAGGCTATAATCGAGCTCCTACTCGACCGACGAGGAGCCGATATCCAAATCACCGACGAGGTGATCCTTGCCACCGCGAATAATAGGGACACCGGAGCGGCTGTGATGAAGCTCCTACTCGACCGACGCGGATCCGATGTCCAAATTACTGATAAGGTAGTCTCCGCCGCCGCGGGAAATCGGAGTAGTGGAGAGGCTATGACGAAGCTCCTACTCGATCGACGCGGATCCGATATCCGAATCACCGATCAGGTGGTTCTCGCCGCTGCGGAGAATCGGAGAAGTGGAGAGGCTGTGATGAAGCTCTTACTCGATCGACGAGGAGCCGATATCGAAATCACCGGCGAGATGGTCCTCGCGGCCGCGAATAATGAGGGAAATGGAGGGGCTGTGATGAAGCTCCTACTCGACCGACTCGGAGCCGATAGCCAAATTACCGATAAGGTGGTCTCCGCAGCCGCGGGAAATCGGAGCAGTGGAGAGGCTGTGTATGATGAAGGTCATACTCAACTAAGAGTGAGATGATTTCGAAATCTTAGAGATCGTCTCTAGTCATTATGTTCACCTCTTTTCAAATATGCATTACAAGCTAGCTGGATAAAAATTACGTAAACATGGCCTCCCGTTTCTTAGATTATATGTGTAGAATTCTTGTACCATCCTATCACCCCGGTCGCACTTCACAGTGCATCCTTACCAGGGAGCTTACAGGGTATCAATCTTCAACCATTCAACCTCTCTTGGTTATTTCTCATTTAACTAGTATGAAAACGAGAGATATTACATCTTATTGGGAAGAAAGCCGCCTCAAATAATGAATTGTTCGAAAGTCGACTTTCCCATCCCGAAGTCAAGAGGATATCTCAACAATAAATATTAATGCTTCTTCATAAGATTGCTATATACGTCGATTTACTGGAAATGTTGTCAATAGCTATCCTCCACGTCTAGACCTGCGTGTCGAAAATGGCCCTTAGCACTCTGCTCTCTCGTGCCAACATCAATGCACCAATCAAGACAATAACCCCTGCATTCACGCATATATTATATATATGGTCTGAATGATGAACAGACGCGTTGTCCATGACAAGTACAGACTTTGGTCCCGGCCACTTTCCACAGTGCTGGAGAAGCTGTTCGTTAAAATCTTCAGAGACCAATGCATCTGTCGAGCCCTGGAAGATGCGCGACAAAACTATGGCATCCCGAGCATATGCCGGCAAAATCTGATACCTTTTGTCGCGATGGAACTTCAAAATCTGGATCGGTGCCACACCTAACGGTGACCATCCCGTCCGTCTGAATCCAACTCGCTTATCACATCCAGACTCGTCCACAAAAACCAATTTTAATGTTTGAAATTTAGAAATGTAATGAGCGTATTCGTCTCGTGAGTCCTGGTTTCGTTCTTCCGCCTTATATCGGACTGTCATTTTTGTCTATCCGGTGGAAGCAAGTGTCTTCCTGATACAACAATTGCTCACGTATGTCTTATATTCGTCCCATAAGAAAACGACCGTTTTATCTGGAAACAAGGCTGGCTTTTCTTAGAGGTGATCGCAAAGAGCTTGCAGCATTGATGGTGTAATCAGGCGTTTTCGGCCGGAGCGCATCGGCGGGGCCCGGGCATTGTCGAAATGTTCGATGTTGGATGGAATGTGGTGGACTGCTTGTCGGCTACACTTTGCAGTTTTAGCAATATGACTTATCTTCTCATTACTGCTCAACATGTCGCGAATTAGTTGGATTTTCGATGGCTCCAGCCGTGGTGCCATTTTTGCCTCTGATACGTCTCCTATAGTGCCAGGGGAAGGAATAAAAGAGAAGAGGGAGCTAAGACAGGGTGACTCATCCACCAGGCAGCACCAGTGTACTAGTGTATCTTACTTCAATTCAGTGACCGTTTGGTACCATACAAGAGACCACGTCATCGAGAGGTTATTCCGAGGGCTAGCTATTTGTCTTGGTCGGGCTTGGCACGATACGAAATCAAAGTTCGGAGTTTCCTGGCTGTCAGGCTGATTTAGCCGTTTACTGTAGTTGTGTCATGCATGCCCTAAGTTGTTGATCTCCTTGTCGTCCCCCTGCTTTGTACAGATTGTGGAAGTTACTCTATCAAGCACAGAAATAAGACCACTGTTGTCAGAATTTTGATTTTTTTCTATATATATCCTCGCCGCATTCTCTGCAGTACTACGTGACGTCTACCCATCACAAAACGTATAGATGATCACATAATAAAAGTAATTTTCTTAGAAAGATATGCTATCCTTTTGCCCTCACCATTGCGAAAGCAAAAAAGGTTCGAACAAATTTTTATCCGCCAATGATCGTCATTGCGTTAAGGTCTCACTATCCTAGTTGGTAGGATCCAATAGTGCGTGACCCAGAATGAGAAACCTAGCCTATTATGCTTTTTACTTGGACCCGACCGCTAGGATCAAGAATTCCTGTCTCTTATGAGAGTGAGTGTCGATAATGCATCCTTCAATATATCCGTCTGAATGGGGCTTGCTGTGGGGCGAATATAGGATCCACATGCCTATATGGACCAATCATATCGCGGAAGCTTCTTACGTCCTGTCATCTGATGCACATAGCCCCTGCTAAAATTGATGCATGTATATTAGATATTTTCATATGCTGTGAGCTGGTAAGTGTACTTTACTAGTTCAATGTGAGATATATCACATTAAGTCACATTAGCATATGTACCTAATCAACTAATCTTACAAAACCAAAGTTCACGCTAACTGGAACCAAACGGCGGGCGGGTCGGGACGGAACGTGAATGGAAAGTCAATGCTTCCCGTCCATGTCTCACGGTATTCAGATGCACAGTAGTGGAGGCAACCTGTGAGGTCTCTCACCTCGCTTCATGCACTATTGACCACTTGCATTTCCAACCATTCCGATGACCATGATAACCCTGGAAACAACTGCTTCGGGAACATTATTGAGGACACCTATGCAACTGTCGATTATGATCGAACTGGTCAACGGATAGTATTATGGTGTATTTGTGGTTTCAACTCAATTGATAGATGAAAACCAGTATGCCGGTGTGGGCTCTTCTCTATTCACTGTATCTTGTATAAACTAAATTATCATCGTTTCTTAGCGAGTGCCCTCTCCGCAACGATTTACCCAATAGCCGATGTCACCTACGAACCGCCGGGCGGCACCTAATTTTACACCACGCTTGACGAAGAATTCTGGGTCTTGATCTTCATGAACCTGCATGAGGTCGAGGCAGTTTTCGAGTGTCACATCGCGTGCTTTAGCGATATTGTCCCTGAAAGTCTCATTGCTCACCCGTGACTGCTGCCATTCGGTATATTCCCCCACGACTATATCAAGTAGCCCATGAACGATGATTGGTTCAGTACAGGCAGACTTAGCAGGCGAGGCTTCGTTAGCAAAAGAAGGCAGGGATTGTTAAGATGACCCAGCTGGGAGGAAATTGTTGATATTGATTGGAGGACACATTGAGCCGATCGAAGAATTATCCGAGGTTTTCTTCTTTTTTTTAAGTCGCTGGTTTTCCTCGGCATAAAGCTGCTCGCGAACGCTGTCGGGGATGTCGTTATGGGTCTCGAGGTCCCCCCTTGCTCCACATATTTAATAAGGGCTTTCATATGGTGTGTTTTCAGTCTGTAGCGTTTTTTTCCTTCCGGATCTTGCTAGTAGTATTGCCCTTCGTGGCGACATGGGGGTCCGGGGCATCGTATGACACGATATATATCCCGCTATATAGGATATTGGCTACATGATTGCTTAGCGTCAATCCGAGCGTCTCGGTCCGCCAACCTCCTTTTGGTGGTCGATGATTTTCCTCGTTTATCGCAACCAGATGAAAGAGCCCCACTATCCTTAATGTAGTTAATAGATATCTGGAGTAAAAGCTTCTTGCTAAGACGGTACAAGTGGGCCCACGCGAGCAGCTGCTACTCCACCGTTGTCTAATTAATATCAGTGCTCTTAAAACGCTTGGTAAGATCTCGTTGGGAACGGTCCTTTACAGATACGACAATAGTAGTATCGTCTGGTCTCACGCGTCGGTCGCGGGCTATTTTCCGACGTAAAAGACTTCCGGCTTTCTCGTTTATCTTTTCCTAGTAAGAACTGGGTGACAGAGCCAAGTTTTGTTCCGTATCCTTTGGCACAACCCGGTTATTCAGATTCACCCTCCACTCAATCTGGTAGTAGTGTATACAGTTTACAGATTGTCTATCCCATGTTCCTCCATCTTCATTTTCAACCACCGGAAGAAAACCCGCTTCGTTGGACTGTGATTGATGCAAGGGGGATGAACGTTCATTAAGCATTTCCTCAGGGCTGGGTGAAGGGTAGACAGATGGTATGGATTCACGGTCTAAGTAGTAACCGGGGGTGGGGGCGTACAAGGGAGCCCGGCCCCGCAGATCAGGTTGGTTGGTATCATAATCATCATTAAAAGGAGTGTAGGTCATCCCTTTAAGGCAGAATATCCCACCGAAGAGCCTAGTAACATCATTGCATGTTAGCTTAGACCAGAATGAAGTCAGGAAGTGGAGAGTAAGAAAAATCTGTGGCTGACAGGCTAAATATGGTGATGAGCAGGGTCATAAGTATAATCTGCAAGTAAGCAAGGTATTGTAAGTCACTATTTGTGCTACCTGATATGTACAGAGTAAGCCCCAAGACCGTCACTTGGGTACAGGAAGGAGTGGTGGCAGAGGGAAGTGACATCTTGCCAGATTGCCAGATTCCCTGGGCCCACTCCGACTCCTGATATTTGACTTGTTTGCATTGATATGGAAGGCTCCAGCTACTCCATACAGTAATGAGACACGAGGTACATGTATCACTTGGCGTAAAGTACCGTATAAGTAATCTAACAGGAATATTGATGCTCCGGGTCTATTTCAAAGACGGTATAGTGGATCATGGCATTAGGGTTCGAGAAACAATCGAAGAGTGTAGGTGGTGACACCAGTTTCGGGAAGTACTGTATAATCTCAGATTAGGATCATAGTAATTAATTTTTTTTTTCCCTTTGCATCTAGTTTGAACAGGGGGGGGGGGGGGTTTCTCTCGCTGTATTGTGGTATCTTGATTTGGGCCATGGACGCAGAATTCTAACGGCCATCATGATTCGAAGGTTAGATGCTGATGTTTTCCCTAATCCGGAATAGTGACCATCGAGCGACACGTGACCTAGTGAGACTGCTAGGTCAAGGCGGGGGTTGATTTGCTATTGGCGCGCCTTTTGGTGAAAATGGGTCCACGAAACTTGGCCTTGAGGAGGTTTCGGTGCGGCGCGCCCCGTTGCCAATTCAGCAGAACAGATTTCCCCAGCAATAGGGCTTAATGGAAGGTTACACTGATCAGATATCTCTGCCAACAACCGACAATTGCATCACACAGTAAATTGGACAAGATGAGTGCATTCCAAGGCTGATCTTAGCAATTCTTTGCTTCGATGGGGTGGGTGGAAAAGACGGCTCCTGCCAATAGCATCTCTTCTCTAACCGCCCGCTGCTGCACGTCGTGTTTATCATGAGGCTGAGTCTCCCCGGTTGGCAAACATTTTCCCTCTGTCTTAAAGGACTTCTTCCCTTCTCTCAAGCCTCCTCCGCTCTCCTTTGCTCATAGTGGCATATGTTGTCACCTTGAGTTAGGCCTCTATTGCACACCAAACGTCAGGACTTTCCAAAGGTCAAGCGGGCAACTGAATTTGAGGCTTTTTTTCTCGCGTTGAAGCCATGTCAGATCCTGCGGGGTACACTGTGGGCTGGATATGCGCCTTGCCCGTGGAATACGTTGCCGCACAAGAATTCCTCGATGAAGAGCACGAGAAACCTAGCTTTGTGTCGCCAAATGACACCAACGACTATACATTAGGCAAGATGCATGAGCACAACATTGTGATCGCCGTCTTGCCTGATGGTGAATATGGCACAGCTTCCGCGGCCAATGTGGCGACGAACATGCTGAATACCTTTCACAACGTCAGGGTAGGCCTTATGGTCGGCATCGGTGGCGGTGTACCAAGTGAGACCCATGATATTCGTTTGGGCGATGTTGTGGTCAGTGCGCCTCGTGGTGGTGAGAGTGGTGTCTTCCAGTACGACTTTGGCAAGTCGATACAAGGCCAAGAATTTCAGCATACGCGATTTTTGAACCAACCACCAACTACACTTCGCACTGCGATAACGGGAATCCAGGCGCAATATAAGAGAAAGGGGCATAAGCTCACGGAGGCCATCAACATTGTCCTCGACACGAACATTCGGTTGCGCAGCGAGTACGAACGTCCCGAATCAAGCACGGATAGGCTCTTCCAGCCCTCTGTCGACCATGAATTTGATTGCGGTGCTGCATCCTGTGCAAATAATGCCTCAAACTGGCTTCCGCGGCGTGAGCGGTCCGATCATGAAGATAATCCTGCAATCCACTATGGTCTTATTGCATCTGCCAACCAGTTAATGAAGGATGCTTTGGTTCGAGATCGGCTTGCCGCGGAGAAAGACGTTCTCTGTTTCGAAATGGAAGCCGCGGGGCTGATGAATACTTTCCCATGTCTAGTCATCAGGGGTATCTGCGATTACTCGGACTCACATAAGAACAAAGCGTGGCAAGGGTATGCAGCTATGGTGGCAGCTGCATATACGAAGGATCTCTTACAGAGAATTCCTCTGAACAGAATTGAGACTGAGGAGAGGATAAGTGCTGTTGTGTCTGGTTAGTCTAGCGTAGTCTTTTAATGATTTTGCCAGCAAATATTGACTTAGGCATTACTTAGAGGAGCTAAAAGGCATCCAACATCGTTTGGATCAAGCATACAGTCAAAACGAACGGCACTTCAGTGAACAGAAAGTAAGAGTCTTGACGGATCAACAGCGCCGTTGTTACCAAGTTTTCAAGGTCGTCAACTACGCGGAGCAAATGAACATAAACCCTCAATGTGCTGAGGGAACCTGTCGATGGGTTTTCCAGAGCTCTGAATACATCCGTTGGTGGGAGAGCAACTGCAACGATCTTCTCTGGGTGTCGGCTGACCCAGGCTGCGGCAAATCTGTCCTCGCCAGATCGATAATTGATGGTTACTCAGAGACCTGTCATCCAACTCTGAGAATATGTTACTTTTTTTTCAAGGACAATGATGAACAGAACAATCTTGCTACGGCACTATGCTCGGTACTTCATCAGCTATTTAGCCAGCATTCTGATCTATTGATATATGCCATTCCGTCCTGGGAAAAGAATGGGGGGCGCTCCGACAAGAAGTTGACGAGCTTTGGCGGATTTTGATGGCGGTAACATCAGCCAATACATCGTGCAAGACCATTTGCATATTCGATGCACTTGATGAATGCCTCGAAACGGATCAGCGCCGATTAATTGAAAAGCTGCAGGCGTTTCATCGCCAGCCATCTTCATTAACAGAGCAAACCTGTTTGAAATTCCTGGTCACCAGTCGTCCCTACGATCATATACAGGATCACTTTCGAGCAATTACCGATTCTTTCCCGCATATACATATCAAGGGGGAAGAGCAAAATGACCAAATCCATAAGGAGATTGATCTGGTGGTGAGGGCTCGGGTAAGGGAACTAGCTGAGACAGTACCACTATCACCAGAGCTTCATCATCGACTTGAACAACAGCTGCTTCAAATGGAACATCGTACATATCTTTGGCTACACTTAGCCATTGATGATATCCGCACTACCTTCAAAGACAGCCTCCGGCCTACAAAGGATTGGATCACGCTGATTCCGCCTTCTGTGAATGCCGCATATGAGAAGATACTCTGTCGAGTCCCAGCTTGTCTAATGGACAGAGTCAAGAAGATCCTAGAGATCATCGTGGCCGCACGGCGTCCTCTGACAATACAAGAAATGGCTATGGCGTTAGGAATTGCTACTAGCTCAGGATCACCAACAACCAAACAGGCTGGGCTAGATCCAATTGGTCTACATGGCAAGCTTCGGCGATGGTGTGGCCTGTTTGTCTTTACGAACAATTCGAAAATCTATCTCATCCATCAAACAGCCAGGGAATTTCTCATTGAGAAGAAAAATTCTAGCTACCCCAATTCTACATACTGGAACAGCCTCACACATGCGGAAGATCAGATGGGTGAGATCTGTTTGAGGTACTTGTTGATGGAGGATTTAGAATGCGATGAAGACAGATCAGGCTCCCTTGCTGGATGTTTCTTGGAGTATTCAGCAGCATACTGGCCCGATCACGTACGAAACATGGCTTTGACTTCGATCCAAAAGGAAACCGACCGAATGCATCGATTATACAATATAAACGGGAAACCGTTCTCAATGTGGTTTCCCATTTTTTGGAAGACAGTAAGACCATACGAAAGAGCTCCTGTAATGAGTGCGCTACATCTAGCAGCTTTGAATGGCCATGAACATGAGGTACATGCTATACTTAGCGTGGATAAAAGTGATCTTAATAGACCTGATGGTACAAAATCATACCCGGTCATATGGGCCTCATTAAATGGACATGATAGGATCGTGGAATTTCTGCTAGAGCGAGGAGCCGATGTCAACGCCCAGGGTGGAACGTACGGAGATGCCCTCCAGGCTGCTTGTTCTAGAGGACACGACAAGATCGCACAGATGCTGCTCGAGCGAGGAGCCGATATCAACGCCCAGGGTAGAGGCTACGGAAATGCCCTCCAGGCTGCTTGTGCCGGAGGACACGATAAGATCGCACAGATGCTACTAGAGCGAGGAGCCGATATCAACGCCCAGGGTAGAGGCTACGGAAATGCCCTCCAGGCTGCTTGTTACGGAGGACACGATAAGATCGCACAGATACTACTCGAGCGAGGAGCCGATATCAACGCCCAGGGTAGAGGCTACGGAAATGCCCTCCAGGCTGCTTGTGCCGGAGGACACGATAAGATCGCACAGATACTACTCGAGCGAGGAGCCGATCTCAACGCCCAGGGTGGAGCGTACGGAAATGCCCTCCAGGCTGCTTGTGCCGGAGGACACGATAAGATCGCACAGATACTACTCGAGCGAGGAGCCGATATCAACGCCCAGGGTAGAGGCTACGGAAATGCCCTCCAGGCTGCTTGTGCCGGAGGACACGATAAGATCGCACAGATACTACTCGAGCGAGGAGCCGATATCAACGCCCAGGGTAGAGGCTACGGAAATGCCCTCCAGGCTGCTTGTGCCGGAGGACACGATAAGATCGCACAGATACTACTCGAGCGAGGAGCCGATCTCAACGCCCAGGGTGGAGCGTACGGAAATGCCCTCCAGGCTGCTTGTGCCGGAGGACACGATAAGATCGCACAGATACTACTCGAGCGAGGAGCCGATCTCAACGCCCAGGGTGGATATTTCGGAAATGCCCTCCAGGCTGCTTGTTCTAGAGGATACGACAAGATCGCACAGATACTACTCGAGCGAGGAGCCGATCTCAACGCCCAGGGTGGATATTTCGGAAATGCCCTCCAGGCTGCTTGTTCTAGAGGATACGACAAGATCGCACAGATGCTACTAGAGCGAGGAGCCGATATCAACGCCCAGGGTGGACATTTCGGAAATGCCTTTCAGGCTGCTTGTTCTGGAGGACACGACAAGATCGCACAGCTGCTACTAGGGCGAGGAGCCGATATCAACGCCCAGGGTAGAGGCTACGGAAATGCCCTCCGGGCTGCTTGTTACGGAGGACACGATAAAATCGCACAGATACTACTCGAGCGAGGAGCCGATATCAACGCCCAGGGTAGAGGCTACGGAAATGCCCTCCAGGCTGCTTGTGCCGGAGGACACGATAAGATCGCACAGATACTACTCGAGCGAGGAGCCGATATCAACGCCCAGGGTGGAGAATACGGCAATGCCCTCCAGGCCGCTTGTTCTGGAGGACACGATAAAATCGCACAGATACTACTACAGCGAGGAGCCGATATCAACGCCCATAATGAAGAGTACGGAAATGCCCTCCAGGCTGCTTGTTCTGGAGGACACGACAAGATCGCACAGCTGCTGCTAGAGCGAGGAGCCGATATCAACGCCCAGGGTGGAGAGTACGGAAATGCCCTTCAAGCTGCTCGTCGGGGAGGATACCACCACATAGTGAAACTTCTCCTGGGACATCAGTTTGCTGATCAGTCGACCTCCCAACCTCCACCTTCCAAGAGGCTTAAGGTTTCAACATGATCCCACATTACCATGTTCAACTAACCTTTTTCACTACCCCGATCTCTTGATTGGTTCTCTCTCCCTCGGTAGATGTGCTATAGTCCTTGCTCTCGGTACTGAAATACTTTGTTTATGATTCATAATCCTTGATCCAGCCATTGAAACAATAATGGAATAAGAAGCACTGAAACCAAACAATAAACCTGCTTTGTCTTTTCAGTCGATCAACCTTTGTATCACTCAGTAAATTCAAAACCTTCCCTCTCATTACTTGGGCCGGCTGTCTATTGCCTAGTCCCACTTACCGTGTGGACTCATATAAGGGAGATGAGATAAGGTGATGTTACAGGATCCTCAGATTAATATGAAGCTTTCTGAACTACTATACATACCCCCAAGTTCTAGCAATTTATGGTGGTTTCATAACCAATCTGATAAGTAAACAAAACATGTGAAACAAAGCAAACATTATTCTTAGCCTTCTTTCTGGCATCATATCATGTGATAGATACCAAAGGCAATAGACGATGAAACTAGAGAAGAAGAAAAAAACATTGCTGAAAGCACAGTGTATCATCGTTTTTGGGCATGGTCATATTTAGTAAAACATAATTTCTTTATGATTGACCGTTTGAGTAAAAAATGCACACTGCTGTCTTGGAAATGGGGCCGCAAAGCAGAAAACCAGTGCTGAATCTGGTACAAGTTGTATGATACGTAAGAGATGATGCTATTATCTGTCCTCAAAGCTAGCTAAATGGGTGGCCAAGCCACGTGACAAGTCACGTGCCTACAACAGCTTGGGGCGGAAGCTGATTTCGCTATCGACTGTATCGTATGTAGACTCTAGATTCACCAAGCCCCCCGGAATAGGCTCCAGGGGTGCCAAGAAGGGGGATCGAGAGGAAATCGATGGGCAGTCGAAATTTCATGTTTTGGTTTCTAGATTTGTCAGATAGGATATTGTGGCATAGTTGTTGCTTCGCTACTGTCAAATGGACATGGTATATCAAATAATCATCAAAAAGGCTTCGGGACAACAAACTACCCGTCAATTATTAATTCTCTTAAATTATGCATATGCATAATTCCCTGGGATATTCCATCGAAGGTAACTTGAGATGCTTACATATCATGAACGAAGTGGATCACGATCGGCAGGACTTCATTCCCTCTCCAGACTTTTCGTCCGAAAAGACTGGAGAGCGAGAATTTTCTAGCACGGTGGAACTGGGTGGATCTGGATTAGTGGTGTATGTTGGGGTGTTTAGAGATAAAAGAAGCTATGTGCCTCAATATTAAATATGATTTATCTTCAAATCCACATTATATATTACGTTTTTTTCACCATGTCTACAAGATTTCCCAGCGAGAACGTCGATGTATCGCCTCTTGGGGCGGTATTGCAGTTCGAATTCAGTCAGCGCACAGCTTCGAATCGCTTTTTGAAGGCCGCTCTGACAGAGAGAATGGCCTCGTGGTCTCCGACTGATCTTTCGGCTCGAGGTATTCCCAGCCAAAATCTCATCAATCTTTATCGTCGGTGGGGAGAGGGTCAATTTGGACTTATCCTCACCGGTAACATTATGATGGCATATGACCAGCTTGAGTCACCGGGAAACATGATCATTGATCTTGAGAACCCATTCGGGGGAGAACGATTCGAAGCATTTAAGCAATTGGCCACTGCCGCCAAGCAGCATGGGAGTTTGATCGTTGGTCAGGTCAGCCATCCTGGTCGTCAGACATTTGAGCAGCTGCAATCCCACCCGGTTTCTGCTAGCGATGTCCAGCTCGTCATGCCGAAGTTTGGTGCATTTGGAAAACCCCACGCAGCTAGCGAGGAGGAAATTCAGGATATTATCCGCCGCTTTGTTCATGTAGCCGTCTACCTGCAAAAGGCCGGGTACGATGGTATTCAGCTGCATTCTGCCCATGGATATCTCCTCGCGCAATTCCTGTCACAAACAACGAACAAGAGGACAGATAAATACGGTGGGAGCTTGGCCAATCGTGCACGGATTATTGTGGAAATCGCCCAGGCCATCCGTCAAGCTCTCCCAGGTCCCGGTTTTATCATCGGAATCAAGATTAACTCGGTGGAATTCCAAGAACATGGATTTACCCCCGAGGAGTCCAAGGAGCTGTGTGAGATTCTTGACCGCACCAATTTCGACTTTGTTGAGTTATCTGGTGGAACTTATGAAGCTGGTGCCTTCCAGCACAAGCGGGAATCTTCGCAGAAACGAGAATCATTCTTCTTGGAATTTGCAGATCTCATTGCTCCTGCTCTCAAGCGGACACGCAGTTATGTAACTGGAGGATTTTGCACGGCCTCTGGAATGGTCCAGGCTCTGGAAACTGTTGATGGTGTTGGTCTTGGCCGCTCCATTACCCAGGACCCTCGCTTGCCAAGGGAGCTGCTCGCCGGAACTGTTCAGGGTGCAATTCAGCAGAAGATTGATCCCCAAGACTTTTTCCAGACAAGTCCCGCTGCTGGAGTACAAATGCTGCAGATCGCACAAGATGAAGAGCCGATTGACCTGAGTAGTGATGCCAACATGGAAGTTTTCATGAAAGGCCTTGGGGAATGGGCGCAGCAGATGCAGAAAGATGGAACTGCAATGAACATGTATGGTTATGCTCAGCTTCCCAAGGGCCAACCATTCCAAAGTCATCTGTGAAACCAATTTTCGAGGAAAATACAGAGTAGAAGATGTCGAGAGTCATAGATGATGTTTAGTTGCATTCAACATATTGAAGTCCACTTTTTCCACTATAGCGTATACCACAGTTATCATCCAAATCCTGATCAGCCGGGAGGGCTAGGAAAAGATTTGTCCTCTTCTCTGTTTCTTATTGTTGGCAGGCTCATCGCAATGCATGGAGTTTGGGAAATTTAGGTCCTGACTGGTTACAACTCACATCCAGAAAGAAGGATCCAAAAAAGCAGAGCGTCGTCGATCAAAGTATTGTCAATAATAACCCAGATGATTGCGCGGATACTGATGTGCGTGAACAACAAGCGACCAATAAGGAACTTGAATTTAAACGAAAGAAAGAGGGAGAAGCAACTCCTAAACCTACATTCAACAGTGAGTGTTCAGTCCTATGAATTCACCATTACCGTTAATAATTGACTAGCGGATCATGTTGTTTAGGTCAAATTAATTAAGAAGTTGGGAGGTAGTAGTGGCCTAGGAGAAACCTAAGAAGGCTTTGACCATGTTGCGAGACGTAAGTAACGGTAAGTTCACATGCCTTTGATTCCTTAGCTTCCATTGGCCCACTGTCGCTCACTCGCTACAGGTAATTGCCATTTATAATTATCAGAATTCCGAAGATGTGTGGAAACGATTCAATATAGTATACGAGGGTATTCGTTCCGAGTTAGATCTGACTGCGATCGAATACTTCAAACAAGAGGGACAAACAGTCGACCTCGGGTCCTGCTAGGGTCGCTTTTTCAGAATGGAGAAGGGAAAGATGGTTCAATTCGAAAGGAACTTCGTCCAAAAAGGAATACAAGACATGGCCGCTCGGTGGGTTGATGATCCGACCAAAACAGACAAGTACCAAGAGTCGGCCCAGAAGGTTACGCAAGTCCTTGCAGCATTGAGAGACAAAATCAGTGAGATCTATATGCTTGATTTGATATCAGATTATAGCCCATTCTAGGAGTGATGGTAAAAAGGTATCAATGTTGATGACATTGAATTGATTTTTGGCCATCTTAACATCAAGTAGAAGCTGGCACATTGCCTAGTGTTCAATTCCACGGATCTCAACATCCATTACTGGTTCTCTTTATACTCAAGCTCAGTGATCCTCGCTGTTCTCTCCACATTTCGATCTAGTATAGAAAGAAAAAGTTCCTTAGACTCGAGTCTAAGATCGCGGCCATCAACATAAGGCACAACATCAGGGTAGTCCATACCCCAGGAGTCCTAGTCCTGTTCAGTCATCAGGTGTTCACAATTGCTACAGAAGCGAAACAAATAATCTAGATGAACCCGTACCGATCCATAGTAGTACTCTGGATCTTCCTCTTCCCGATCTTCAAGGATAAAATCACCGTCGAGAACGTTAACATAACCGACCATTCCCCTCGGTTCGGATTGCGGAGTAGTTCGTTTTATTAGCTCCACGCTAGCTAGAATTGACCGCATATAGCGTTCATCTAACAAAAGAGGGTAGTTAAGGCGAGGAACAGCACTACACATGTAAAGGCCGTGGTTTTCGACCCATTGTGTATGCCGACGTTAGATAACGGCTTCTAATGCTCCTTCCAAGGTAGGATCTTTAAATATAATATTTCGATAGCCTTCGCGGACCATTTCAATATGCGCGGATCCAGCTTTAGACCACAATTGCTCGTAAAACTTAAGGTCAGTTAAATAGGCCTGGTCAAGCTTTTTAATAGCTCTAGCCCAGTCTTTGTTGGATATTTCTGTATAGCAGGTACGATAAATCGCCTAGCCCTATTGCCATCCTCTAGGTTGACCAGACTAATAGTTTAAGAAGTATGGTACAGACTTCCATTCTGGTCTTGCATGCTGTCGGTGATAACGATCGTAGTGTGTTTCTTCGGGTGGAAACTCTGATGAACGCCATGGTGTAGACCATAGTTCATCGTGAAAGATACTAGGTGGATGTTTATTCCAAGGCATGGTTTCTACAGCGTAAGTAGATGCAGTTGAGAACCTCCAGGGCTGTTATTTTCATGATTATCCCCCTACGCCGGTGTGGTACCATTTTTACTGTGCCAATTGTGTCCCGCTCACCGCCCGGAGACCCGGGTGGAGCCTCGTTACGTAAGGACTCGCCTAGGCGGTACCCGACGGCAGTTCCGGATCTCCATCTCTCCAGGGCTGTTCCCAACCTTTGATGTATCTCAGAGTCAGTCTTACAAGATTGAAGATTGAAGCACCTTTGTGTTGAGATCTCCCATTAGTCACATGACCTCCCTATAGTTTATTTAGGCTCTGTATCCTCTATCCTCCCCTCTTCACTTCTACATAGCTCTACAATACACATATTATTGTACATTTTCATGATCTCTCTACTGCTGTAGATTCAAACATGGAGGATGGCTTCCGCGGCCCACTTCGTTATTTACATTCTAAACAACGCTTTTTCAAGTCCTGCGGGAGGGGCCGGAGGGCACGGGAATATGTGATGTCCCATGTCACCCGGAACGAGAAAGGCAAAGATTTGAGCAGGGGGGCTGACCAGGCCCTGGGCATTCGCCTTGCAAATGATAGTATGGGCACGGCTCTCTCGGCTCTTTTCTACTGTCTTTCTCGGGATGAGCGGGTCGCCCACAAGCTGAAAGCAAGCATCATTGACACCATTGGATTGAAACCCCCGACTTGGGGGCAACTTGGATCTCTGGGCTATATTCGCTGTGAACTCCAGGATGGTAGGGACCTGTCGGTGGGATGTCGGCTTTGAGGAATGCACTAACTCCATAGCCCGCAAAGTCATGAGACTCTATCCTGCAGTTGTACTCAATGCACGAGTAGCGAACAAAAATGCCACACTGCCAGCAGGTGGCGGGACGCATGGTAACTCGCCTATCTTGGCCCGAGAAGGAGATATCATGGTCTTTTCCACCTGAGCTAGACATCGCCTCGGGAGGGACTTTGGGGGGAGAATCCAGAGCGCTTTCATCCCGAAAGGTGGGAGCAACTCAATGCGGATATGCCTGGGTTTATCCCGTCCAACAATGGCCCTAGGTCTTGCCCTGGTTGTAAGGCTTCCATTCAAGTTACCGCCGATTTTGCTGTAGTTGGCTAACACTACTGCAGAACATTATGCAAATATTGTTTTCACCTATATGGTTGCTCGCATTATTCAGACCTTTTCAACGGTCTCCAATTATAACGCAGAGCCATGGAGAGAACGAATCAGTTTGACATTGATGAACGAGCATGGGGTTCTGATAGGCCTCAGCTGAGCGGCTAGCATATGTGTCCGTAGGTATATCTTCGTTATGTTACCTGCCAGTTGTTTGAAAGAAAAGAGTGCATTCAATACAACATACTAAGTACAGAAGGGGAAGGGAAAGGAAAGGAAAGGATTGGTGGAATCAGATCTTTCTGTGGGGTGTAGGGTGATATCGGTAGAGCGATAGTACCTCAGAACCGTAATATAACCCCAAACTATGCCACTGGAAGCTGTGCTGGCGGACAATCAAGACATGCCTGTCTTCTTTCACAAGCCCTCGAGCATGAAAAAATAACAGCTCGGTCCGATATAGGTTATCCACGATTCCGACAGTCTCTCCGAGACCCTTCTTGAAGTTCCCTGTGCGTCGTCCAAAATCCCGGCGAGAGATTATCCTGGATCATACTAATGTCTATATCCAGCCCTAGCGCCTCACACGATGATCTCGCCCCCGTGGAATTGTCCGGGTCAACATTCCTTGTTCCTATATCAAAGACTCGAATGATAATTGTGTTCAACAGAGGAGTCACGGACTGTGCAACGGGGAGGAAGTTTTGAATTGCTTCTGCAACTTTATCTGTCTCCCATTCAAAATCCTCCGCAAGGCTCAAGTTGTCTCGAATGGCCAGCTTCTGAAGTGTTGGTGGTAAAAATTCAGACATGGCTGGTGTGTCACAAGTCCATCCAAAAAGCATGACTGCAGGTAGCTCGGCGGTTCGAAGAAGCGGGAAGTGCTTTAAGATTCCTTTAAAAGGTTTAAAACTTTCTTTCGGGGTTCCATTGCCACGTTCTATTGCGCCCCAAACACTAGGCCAATAAAGCGGACAGAGCTCCATGCTAATGGAAAGATGTTCAACTGTGTTCTTCACACTCATCAGCCCTTCAAAAAGCACACCTTGTGTTTTCAGAGGAGGTTGAGGAGAACAACAGTTATAGTTGAGTTCTTTATCCTGTGATGGGTAGACGAGGCCTAGGTGAACACTCTTTAGCGAAGACAGGTGCGACAAAAGATTTTTGACCTCCTCTTCTTCAATAGGGGATTCTGTTAACACAAGCCTCTGAAGCTGGGCCAGATGCGCCAGCTTACTTGATCCAGCAGGCTTGGATAACTCGTTGCCGACACCCTCGAAACTTTGGAGCCAGATTTCCAAGGATTCCAAAGAAGGTAGATAGAACCAGCCTGCAAATTGATCCGGATTACAAACGGGGAATGCATCGATAAAATTCCATCTTGTTTCGTTAAACATCCTAGGACCTGGAACATTCAGACCGTATTCGACAACGGAGAGTTTGGAAAATTCAGATAATGTATTCTCAGGCGCAGAGAGAAGAGCGTGTCTCATCATCAACCCCGGGAAGCCAGTTTGCCACACAAAAGTGTAATCCAGTTGCAGCGACCGTAGATTATGAAGTTGAGAGAGAAGAACGGCCACAAATGCGTATGGGTCGCCCTCTTCTAGAGCATGGATCCACATATTTGGGGAAGAAAACTGTGCCTTGGTGATGATATCTTTTGCAGCGTTCACCTCATCCTGGAATAGAGATGAGAGATGGCTCCAGTCCCCATCAATTTGAGGCACTTCCCACTCGTCTTCCTGGTCCGCTGCTGGATACACCAGTTTCGAGGAGATCATGCTCACATGGTGAATGTGCGCAGCCAAATCTGGACGTTCGTGAATGACACGGAATAGCGTTAGAACCCGCTTGAGGGGAGGTCTGACCCAGTCAATAGCGATTTGGCGATACAACGAGCTCTCCGAGGAGACTTGCAAGCCTCGAGATGTGGCCACTACGGATGCAGTGTCAGATGGTGAGATTTGATCCAGGATCTGCACCCAGCAATCTTGGGGGAGGGTTTTCAAGTCGCTGTGGGTGGGTCAGCTTGGGGGTATTCTCTATAGGAAAGGACTCACTTCGTTGTTCCCATGGTGAATTTTTTCCTGTTCAATGTCAGGTGAAAGTGTGTATGAGAATGATAGAAAGAAAGGCAATTTAAGAGAATGGGAATTCTATTCATAGAACTAGAAGGGGATTATCACAGAGTACCTGGTTTTCTGTTACAACCACGTTGGGGGCCACGTTGGGGGCCACGTCCCCTATTGGATGCCTGTATGCCTTAAGGCACCAATGCCCCGATTGGGACAGATCTAGCTCTTCTCTCTTCGTCCACTCATTTCGATAGGAATATAGGAATAATACAGTACGTTTTCTCCATAGCGAGACCTGTAGATCTGATTCCTCAAGACCTGTCTGAGGATTGTATTTGGGAAAAATATATGTATATATATATATATATCTATTTTACATGATACACCCAAAAAAAAAAGAATTTAACATTGAAACCCCTTTATACATTTCCATGAATTATTCCAAGTGTCAATTAATAGTCCAAAATCATCGCTTATTTAGGTACTTCCTAACCTTTTGAGATCTCTTCCTCATCAACTACTACCGTTAGGCATGCGTTTAGGCTGAGTGGTCCCGTGCAAGTCCCTACCACGGTGATTTCATCCGGAAGAGACATGTCTCCCACAACTTTGTAACCCATTTCCTTGGTCCAGCTATCGCATCCCCAACTCACATCCTCCGGGTTATTCGGGTCCGGTGAACAAGGGGGAAGGTAGCCCTTGCCATTGAACGCAGCAACCTTGGGTTGGACAACTAGCTCTTTTGGACTTTGAGTCGGGTTGTCCGTCATCCACATCAGGGTTGACATGATCTCGCCACAAGCTGCTTGGTTCTTGTGTTGCTTGTTTGCTGGGGTGGCACACTTGGCTAAAGCATCCGTGACCTCTTTGTACTTTTTTGGGAGTTCGGGGTTTAATGTGCCGTCGCCTCCCGCGAAACTGGCCTTTTCGTAGATAATCTGCCTTGTGCCCCTCACGGAAGAAGAGAGGTAGACTTCGTTGCCAATAGAGAGGCCGATCATGGCGTTTGGACGCTTGCTCCTTTCCTTATTGCTGGCGGCGGGGGCATTTTTCATGTCGTCGAAAGCAACTTGGATCATTTTCAGGAATTGCGCGTCGCTTGGTGGCGCTGCGAAGCTGCATTTCGAGCTGTAGGCCCACTGGGTTGTGCCGAGTGACAAGTCTCGTGCAATATTGAGCTCGAGTGCCAGGGCACTGCCTAGCAAGGCTAAGAGGAAGCCGACTGATAGGAGGGCCTTTGGGAACATGATGGCGGGACTCTGCCAGGAGTGTTGAGGGAGAGGTGAGGATGTAAAAGGAGATGGCGAATGATGCCAAAAAAGGGATTAGAGCGAAGACCGGGCCAGCGTGCTTGAGTGGTTGTCAAGTACTCTGTGATAAGTTGGGAGGGACTCGGTTGTTTTAAATATCCTAGGTGAGTTGCTCTCAAGCGTTATTTGCAAGCAAATTGGACGTCTAAAAATCTATGCTAGGCTTTCAGGGCATTCTAGGCCATTTCAGCTGTTCTAGCCCCCAATCATCACGCATCTTTGGTGTTTTATCGCTCATTTACCTATATAGGGTAATGGTTCTGCCAAACTTATTAGGTCAAATCATAAGCAATTCCCCATTGCAGTTAGAGCTTGGCTAGAAATACAATATATGAAACTTATGTTGTATATCTTTCGACCTGTCTAAAGTATGGCTATTTCAGTCACACTCAGAACTTTGGAAGGGACCACCTGCCTAGTTGGGCCCAAAGACACATCCTGCCCCTGAATCCCTTGACACTAGATACGCATCAGACAATGTCTTGAGGTTAGGTTCTGGAAGTTGTGTAGACAAGTGGCAAGTGGTCGCCATTTTCACAGGCTATGTGCCTATACTTAGTTGAGCCAAGCTCATCATGCCAAGATCCAATATCGGCATGTGGATACGCGGAATGGGAAAGATCATCTATGTTTGTACTGTCAAATGCTTCCTCTAAAACCCACTTCTTAGTGGAAATTTGCTTGCAAGTTTGATTGAAATTTAATAATGTGGAAGCTTTGTTTGATACATAATCTGGTTGAGCAGTTTAAGATCGCATATAAGAGCTCCACCAGACTCCCTTCCGAGAGCCAGTCAACAGCCCAAGGCTCACACCATGAAGTTTTCTCTTGGAACAGTTTTGGTGGCAACGCTTGCCTTGACTTATCCTATCCAAGCTAAGAATGTTCCTAAGAACGGACGCTATATAGGTTAGTCCTTTGTACCAATTCCCCCAGAACGCATAGTAACATCCCTTCACAGTTCCTGCCGTCGATGAAGCCAGCAGCTATCAGGACGGTGTGGTTTCTCATAAAAAGGCGGTTACTACAGTCCCTTGGTTTAGTGATCGGGCTTCCAAGAGTGTTACGCCTTCTGCAAATATCAGTCGGACCTCCAGGCATCATCAGGCCACTCAACGTTCTCGGTCCTCAGAGGCACCTAATGAGGGAAATTCCTCAAAACAGCCCTCCTCTACTACCAAGAATGACGATCAAGGCACAGAGTCGACAGGGTATACAAAATATAGTTCGAATCAGTCGAATTCAGCCAACACCATATCTCACCCTTCAAACACCTTGGTCTCATCGGAGACATCCCGTTCAAATCAACCGGGGCCTTCTACGACCCACACCACTAGCTCATCCAAACTGCCTACCTCAAACACTGGTGGCTCATCTGGAACAAGCACACCCTCTAGGCCCCCCCAAGGGGACACTGGATCGGACTCTGCTACATCTTCAAATATGCCAGAGCCGACAGGCTCGCCAAGTACTACTATAACTCATGCACCTTCCAAATCTCATTCGACAATTAATTCGTCCATGGCGGTCATCATTCCTGGTGGACATACTACAAGTGAAGCTGTGGTTGTCCCTGTAGTAACAGTGAGTTTAACAGATTAACTGTTATGATAGAAATTAACGCACGTTCTAGACTGTCGCAATTACCAAGGGCCAGGAGACCAGCAGTGCCATTTTTACTGCTACCTCTGTTACTACCTCGGAGGATTCAGAGCCAACGGCTGCATGGGGTTGTGCTTCGGTTGACATTTGTGGCGTCTGTCTTGTTCCATTGCTTTGTCCATTGAGCCTTACCTGGGGTCTTATCGGTGGATGGGTTCCAGTTAACCCTCTACCTGGTGGTCCAATCCCTCTTCCAGCTGGCGGTCCAATGCCTCCTCCTTTACCGCTCAAACCCCCGGTCGCTGACACTGCCACGTCGATGACAACCTCCACTACAACCACAAGTTCCACTTCAAGCACCACCCCTGCCTCTACTTTGCGCCTTTGTATGTCCATTATTGAATCTGGTTCAGTAGAAGCCACCTCGACACCGATGACTAGTTCAGCGGCTTCTACGAGTGCAACTCCAACCACCACTCCCGTCTCTACACTACGCCTTTGCATATCAGTTGTCGAATCCGGCTCAGTAACAGCTACCAGCGCACCGTGGAGTGTCACTTCGTCAACGCGCGCTTCCGGTTCTTTTGCTACAACCTTGGCAACCACTACAAGCTCGGCAATCACCAGAAGCTCGGCATCCACCACAAGCCTGACAACCACTAGAAGCTCGGCAATCACCAGGAGCTCAGTGATCACCACAAGCTCGGCAGCCACCACAATCCTAACAACCACCAGAAGCTCGGCAATCACCAGGAGCTCAGTGATCACCACAAGCTCGGCAGCCACCACAAGCCTAGCAACCACCACAAGCCTGACAATTACTACAAGCTCAGCAGTACCTATGCCTCCCCCTGAGGTATCCATTAACGCAGTGGCCCCTAGAGGGGATGGAACTACTATCGTATGTGTCTCCCGAGAGTTTGCTCGTATACCTATCAGAAAGCTGACTCGAGTTATAGCACAATGAAGTCGGTTGTATCTCGGTCAATGGTCAAATCCTATGCAACAGCTGGACTCAGTGTTAGTATCTACTCGACTTTCAGCCTTTATTAACCGCAGAAGAACCAGCTAACCTATCAAAAAAGCCGCAATACGCACCGATTCAGACACCACCACAGTGAAGATATACGCAAAGGTTGATGGCGGTACTTCGGACCACGTGAATATACAGCCTGGTTGTGAGCTGACTGCCAGCTGGCCGTCCAGCTATGGTGATGTTTACTATAAAGCGGACGACTGCCTCTATGACGCTCAAGGTAAACACCGCACACTTCTACGTTCGATCCCTAATAAACGGAGTATGTTCTAATATCTTCCAGACAATCCCATTCAATGCTGCACTCAGCCCACAACAGATACCGTTCCGAATCCATACGCGCCTATCTGTAGGAGGTCCTACAAATTCCTTTGGGATAAATTCACAATCTGGAGCGAGGACTGGATCACAGATGATGGATTGACTCTTCACGCGGCTGTTATGAAATGTGGTATTGTCACTGACTGGAGTGCCTCCCGGACTGGTGATAAAAACACGGGAAAGGGCTACGAGGTAGTGTTTGATATAACATTGCAGGCGAACAATTGTGTTGGAAAGGCTATTTATAACTCGGGAGGACCTGCTGTTAACTGTTAGCGAATTGTGCCATTGCAGACTTTGTTGCCGCTCGCTTGTGGCTATAAATAGTGTATTTAATGGATATTTACAAATCCTAGTGAGGAAGCATACCAGATAGATGGATGATAAAATGCAAGATCTCTGGATTCTAGAATATGGAATACAGAGGGAATAAAATATGACAATCTGGGTGCAAGATACAGGGAATCTAGGGGGCAAATTGGATTATGAGAGTCAACGGAGATTCGTAAATATTTGATGTCGGTTTTGTATTGAAAAGCGTAGTCCGATCAATGGTGTTCAACTTTCTGTATTTATGTACATGCTCTCCTTACAAGTTAGTTAACTATATGGACCTTGGATTACATAAAAATTACAAAATGGCTATGAGAGGAGAGGTCAAGTGATCATGGAGGAAATAGTGCCAGAGGAGCCCATGGATTAGAGGAAAAGGCTCTGCAGGAGAAAAAGAATCGGGATTGCCGACTGCTTTTCCGACAGAACGTCATAGCAACAAGTTCTTTGCCACAGCCCATCCAGAGATGCCGCTATCACCAAAGTAGTTACTTTTCAACCTCTACCACTTTTGGGAGAATAGCGAGGGATGTACAATAGTATGAGCTGCAATGCTAAACACCAAGATCGACAAAGGGGGCTGCTGGGGAGATTCAAGCAGAATATATCATCATGTCCTCTATTCCGATATCTGACACCGATTGGATTTGCCAATTGTGCAATGTCCGCGGATAGCTCCATATCATTGCCCATATATTGCAAGGCTTGGTTATACATTGTATCTTCAACGGATCTCCACGATGTATCTTGTGGTGAGAACAACCCCTGTGAGAAACTATCCCTAGAAGCCTGGGATATTTTGACCCGGCCACGCTCATGAATGACTTCAGTCTGGTTGCGATGGGGACTGATTGGGAACCTGTTCACCGAACCCAAATCCATACAATTGTGATACGTGCCATGCATATTGCGGAGTCGACCGTTCTCGAGTCGGGCAAATCGGATGGCCTTCGTATATTCGTATGATGCACTTGGAGAGGTGAAAGTAGGAGATTTCGGAGATTGTATCAAGTAGATGATCAGTCGTGGGTATACAACATAGCAGGGCGATGATGAAGTGTAGGAAAGCGAAAACTCCCATAGTGGAAGTTATCTCCAGTAATGCATTTGTGCCTCCAATGGCTGAAACCATTTTTTATGGCGGTTTCTACCATCTGTCAGCGCATAGCTACTAGGGCATGAGCCCCACATGTATTTAAACCATTCTTACCCATTAATACAAACCACCGTTTTTGACCCCTAGACTCCGACACCATCCATGACCCTTGACACCTGAGGCAGTAAAGCAGTTAGGTAAGCATTGTCAATGACGTCACATGTCCAGGTGATGTCTCCCCGAGCATTTGAGTAACAGAACGTTGCAGCCTTGCAGGACAAGTTTCTGTCACACACTCTCAAATTTCCAACACAATGCCTGGACACTTGGGCCAAAAGGTCCTCAAGACCTTGGGTCTAAAAGATCATGTCCATCAGAACTCGAGCGTTCAGCTTCCAGGCAGACCAGCCGTGAACAACGATGAACGCGGATTGTCTTCACCTCCCAACAACGGCACATACCCTCGCCTCTGCAGGCTCTCAGATGGCACCATTCTCTCGTCTTTCACCCGATTCCCCGATGGACAGCGCTCACTCCGCGTCGCAAAAAGTACCGATAACGGCCGCACATTCGAGGACTTCTCCGAGGTAACTCGCGCTGCTGGCGACGTGGATAACATGTTTTTGTGTGAGGTGGCTCCGGGGACAATACTGGCGGCTTTCCGCAATCACGACAAGGGTCCGAATGGCCCCACGCACTTCCGCATCACGGTCTGCCGGTCAACGGATGGAGGTCGTGTCTGGCAATTCGCTTCGCAGGCAGCTGAGAAGCGCCCTCCTTTGGGAATTTGGGAACCGTTCATGCGTGTTGGGCGCCAGGGTGAAGTGCAGCTTTATTTCTCGCAGGAATTCGCCCATAACAACCAATGTACTATGCTAGTCGTCTCGCGGGATCAAGGAAGTACCTGGACTCCACCGACCTGTCTGCATGGCGACCAAGATCCGCTTCGCGATGGCATGTGCGGCATTGCACGAACTGTTGATAACGGCCGCGAGGCTCTTCTCATGGTATTCGAGACCACCCGGTACGGACCGTTCAGTGTAGAGGCGCTTCTATCCTATGATGACGGTGCCACCTGGGGTTGGCGCCATGAAGTTTTCCGCCCACGAAAGGGTCACAATGCGGGCTCTCCCCAGATTGCCTCTTTTGCAGATGGATCTATGGCCACGATATTCATGACAGACGATGACTCAGAGCACGTGAGTTGGGTAAAGAATGCCTCTATCAAGGTTGTATTTGCTGGCCCGCCCGTTGAAGGGCGTGTTCAATGGAGTCCACCAACCCTTGTCTCCCCAGCCTCCAGTTTCTGGCCTGGAATCATGGCATTGGATCACCACACCGTACTAGCCACTTATGACCGGGGTGGGCCCCTTGCGAAGACCATCACCTGGCACCCTGCGTAGTTTGATCTCTGGGGTACTTTCTATCGAGAGCCTTGAGACTGGTTCCAGGGTACTCGTCATATTCATCGCGCAAATGGGTGGTCTTTCAAATGATGCTTCACTAGACGTTTTCCATATTCTTTATACCTGGTCTCATAGTCAAACACCAACTATGCTATTTCTTTTAAGGAGCTCCTCGTAGTCCCACAATCATATGCTTCGTAGATGTCTCCGCGTCTCCAGAAGGCAGTCATTCAAGGGCCTCAACTTACTCCAGTGTAAGGTCTCTTAGACCGGATGCCGGGACTTGAAGGTGGCGTTCGGTTCTTGACGGATATAACTTACTCCGCTTGGCTCGGAATTAGCCTGATGGAGAAATTGGCCTCGGAGTTAATCAGATAATCAGATCAGATTAAAAGAGCTATTTATATAAAGAGGTTGGGGGTAACCTTTGGAAATTTCCCTTCAATTCATTCAAAATGGCAACCTCACTACGGAATGTTATTGTTGTTGGCGGATCGTTCGTTGGACGTGTGAGTTCATTCTGCTCCCGATAGAGAGTATAACCAACTGAGATCAATACAGACGACAGCTCAAGAGCTCGCACGTATCGTGCCTTCAACACACAGGGTAAGCTACCACTGAGGTCTATCTTGATGAAGAAGCTAATGTCTTGTGCAGGTCCTCTTGACTGAGCCTCATAGCCACTTCCACCATCTGTTCACATTTGTAAGTTGACATTGATACCAGTGGACGTTCATTCCAGTAAACCTCCAAGGCTAACATATGCTCCATAGCCTCGGTTTGCAATTGTTCCCGGGCAGGAACACAAAGCGTTCATTCCTTACAGTGGGATCTTCAATGCGTCGCCCAGTCCTTCCTCCCATGGCGTAGTCCAGGCTCGCGTTTTATCGGTCAAGCCTACGCATATTGAGTTGGACCGTGAATGGCAGGGCTCGAAAGTGGTTCCCTTTGACTACATCGTTCTTGCCACCGGCACCCGTCTCTCCAAACCAGCAGCTATGGACGACGATGACAAGGCATCATCGGTCGACTATCTGCAAAAGCACCAAGCTGGCGTGAAGAGATCCAAGTCGATTTTGATTGTCGGTGGCGGTGCTGTCGGTGTTCAAATGGCCACCGATCTGAAAGAATATTACCCAGAGAAGGAGGTCACCGTGGTGCAATCCAGGGCGCGAGTGATGCCAAGTTTCCACTCTGGACTCCATGACCTTATTAAGCGACGATTTGATGAGCTGGGGATCCGACTCATCACTGGTTCTCGGGTCACTGTTCCCGCCAGTGGATTCCCCAATGATGGCAGCACCTTTGATGTTCAGCTCACAAACGGTACCACAGAATCCACGCAATTCGTCATCTTGGCCACTGGACAAACCCCAAATAATCAACTAGTGGCTGACTTGGAGCCTTCTTGCCCAGGCAGCGAGTCGGTCATCAATCCGGATAACGGATTTATTCGCGTTAGACCCACTATGCAGTTCTTAGATGAGCAATATCTGAACATGTTTGCCGTGGGTGATATTGCAGATACCGGTGCCCAAAAGGCCGCTCGGCCAGGCTCGGCACAGGCAGCGGTTGTTGCGAAGAACATCCAGGCTTTGATTGAAGGCCACACTGCCGAGGATACGTTTGTGAAGGGACCTGGGGCCATTCATCTGACACTCGGCATGGTAAGTTCATCCAGCCTTGACGCGGACTCATTACTCGGCTAACTGTTGGTTTAGAAACACAATGTGATCTTCCGCAACCCCAATACCGCAGAGGGTCAGACGGAGCCTTGTATTAACCCGAAAGATGAGTGAGTTCCTTTCTTTCTTGCATCATCCTAGCAGAGGCTAACATCTTCACCAGTGGCCGAGAGGATATGAATGTGGAAGCTATGTGGGAAAGGATGGGTATCTCGGTTGAGAATCCTCGTCAATACCACCTGTAAGCACTGCAAGCATTGAGAAAAATAAATTAAAGAATGAATGTCGCCAGATTTTTTACCTCTGTCGCAATCTTTATCACTCAATTTAATTTAATTTTATATTGACACGGGAAACTCGGGTCATCTTCGTCTAATCCGTAGCACGACATAATGACTAGAAGTGAAGAATATCATATACAAAGATCATTTGTATTATTCACATGTGATAACTCCTAACTCTCGAAGTCACTGTAACTACTCGTAGTTGGTTATATTATTATTTTTTGACGGCCCTATCTATCAGGCAAGATGTTCATGGGTGCTTGCATTTCCTAATTTCCCCTTTTCTTCCTTTTTTTTCTTCTGCGAAAATTTACAGTTTTTTGAAATAAGAACATCATCCATGCTATTGAAGAGCCACATGTGAAGGTGAGTGAAAAAACGACGTCAGGAATAAATCGACGGCCCGAAGTACATACGGAGTTCCAGGGGAAGATCAACAGATCAACAGGAGAGTCCTGCACACCTCTAAGCGAGCATTGCCGATAGGGTCCGCACTCGGCTTCAAGATACAGGTTGGTGTGCATCTTCAAACACCTTGTCAACATATCACGTCTTGCTCCACCAATCACCAGGGTCTTCGGCAGCCGGGGACTCTGGCAATGGGACATGGTGATCATTCTTTTGGTATAAATGCGCACAAGAGAACCCAACTTTATTGATCATGCAAGTGAGTTTTGCTTTTTTCTACTCTGTACGAAAGCCCACGAGATCTCATCCACCGCATCCCAGTTTTTGTCAGGATGCATTGCAAATTGGCATTTCATGCCTTGATTGCCACGGCTCTTGCCGTTCTACTCTCCGGTAAAGCCTTTGCTACCAATGACAAACGAAGTGTAGGTAGCAGACTTCTGAACTCAAGGCTTCTCAACTGACAGCGAGTTTTGCCAAAAAAAAAAAGGTGGTTGTACCAATCCCAAGCCTCCAGATCCCAGTGGGAAAGAAGTTTATTGGAAGCCCGGTGGCAGCAAACCCCCTCAGTCCGAAACATGTTTACAAACCAGAAGTATTCAACATGCACCAAGATGGTGGTAATACTGGGACAGTCGATAATTGGGGGCCATTAGGAGCTGAACTGGACGTTTCGAGTGCGCTTGAGGGTCTGCATATCTTACTTTGGACCAAGAGTGGCCAGATGGTTGCCGGCTACACAGGTATTGGACTCAGCGGGCTCAGATGGGGACTGGCGGCAGTCGACAATGAGACAATGGGGGTTCAGGCGACCTGGTTCCCCGAGGTAGATGGCCAGACCTTGAATGTGGCATATATGGAACTTCTTTTGGACAAAGACCAAATCGTGGTGACATCCAAAGAGGGCCAGATTTATGTGGTTCAACTTTCCACTTCTGAAGGATCGCCCAGTCTCGATCTCGTTAGAACCTACAACCTGGATTCTGTTTTGGCTCCTGGTGAGCTTCTCATCAATGCGATGTACGATACCGATGGCAACTTGTGGTTTACGAGCGGTGGCTTGCGATCTCAGGCCGAAGGTGGACATGGAGATCCTGCGCAGAACTCTACCACAATTGGATATATTGAGCCAACGGGCCCCTTCCATATCCGCCACATCCCAAACGAAATGGTTGAGAATGGCATCGCTGTCACAGGAACCACCGTCTATGTGATCACCGGTCCCTCCGGTACCAAGGACCACGAGAACGCAACTGGTACTCTCTATTCGCTTACCTCCGGACCTGGAACATCCATCAAAACACTTTGGAGCATCCCGTATGATGCCGGTGATGTGAAGAAGCCCGGCTCCTTTGCACGTGGCTCAGGGGCAACCCCGGCACTTCTTGGAGACCAGTATGTTGCTATCACGGACAATGCCAATGGCCGAGTCAGCCTAGTCGTTTATCACCAAACAGCGCAGCATGAGTCTTCGCAGACCATTTGCAGCGTCCCGTTGTTTGAATCGGGACTAAGCAATGTCGACATCGCACCGCTGACACACGGCGATGGGAATACCTATGGCGTGATGCTTTGCAACGACTTCAATGCACCAACGTTGTACTACGTGGATTCTGGCCTGAATGGGAAATTCAATAACCTAACAGCCATGGCTCCAGGTGTGATCCGCGTCGACGTCGCCGCCGATGGCAGTTCCTGCAAAATCGCCTGGGAGAACGATCTCAGGGTCCAGTCTGTTCCAATTCTTTCCACCCAAAATGGCCTCGTTTATGGCTATACACAGTCGGTGGCCGCGTCTCTAAAGGGTCTGTATGAATGGTATGCTGTCGCATTTGATTGGCAAACAGGCAAGGAGGCCTGGAGAGTGCGAGCCGGTGCAGGGGGGACGTACAATGATGACTATCAACCTGGGGCTCTTGGACCAGATGGAAGTTTCTATCAAAGCGTGATTGGGGGATTGGTCAGGTTCAAAGATGGCGTATGAATGTTGAATATTTTCTGTCCAGTGCTACTGATCGTGTTTTGCTTTCCCTTGTAGTATATGAGAGAATAAATACAATCCAGCCATTCACAGACTTGCCTTTGCTGAGAGAGATTGCTTCAGCTTCCTCATCCGCTCCTCCGTGACAAGAAACGAGGTCGGACATTCCTGAGAAACGTCTTCTCCAACAATCATACGAGCCACCATCTCTGCCATTCTGAAAGCTTTGATCATACCAATACCTTGATATCCACCACATACCCATTGGTGCTCTCTGCTGCTGAAAGGAAGTCTACCAGCAAAGGCTGAACCATCCTGTGTGTATCCGAGGATACCACTCCATGCATGGCTGACTTCTGACGTCGAGTGACCGTTGCTATACATCTCGGCCATCACGCCCCGAAGATGAATTTGAGGACAGACGTCCGTCCCGCTATCATCCCCTGTGGCCCGTCGACCTGTGCTAGCTCGGCCTAACACAATCCCCCCCGAGGGTCTTTGGATCAGATAATCCCAGTCTTTGTTTGAGTACCGATACCAGAATGAGTTCTCCAGGTTTTTGCGAGGTGAATGCACTGTTTGATGAATCACATTGCCTCTCACAGGGGAAATGTACGGTCGCAGCTCGGGGAGGAGATGACCTAGCCAGCCATTTGTTGCGTGGACAACATGTCTCGCCCTGATATCTCCTCGATCGGTATGTACGACAGCAAACTCATCCTCTTTTCTGTCGGTAATGGAGACAACCTTTGTATTGGACTGCACACAAAGCCCGTTTTCCGTGATAAGCTTGCTCAAAAGCCCCATCACCATCTTGTACGGCCACATTGACGCTGCAGGGGTACCTATTGCACCAATGCTCCGATCGGAACAGTTTAGCTGGCGAATTTTGGCTTTGTCTGTGTACACGGTGTATTGAGAAGCAAGCTCCGGTGCATATCTTTGCATATCGCTGATCGCGGCAATGGCGTCCGCAAAGTTGAACTCGTCATAGTACACATCGATTCCTTCGATCAGGCTTAGCTCGCAGTCGAGTTCACTCTCCTGGATTGCGGTGGTCATATGTTTCAGGTGACTATGTTCGAAGTTGGTTAGGCGAATTGCCTCTCTGACGCCATATCTTGCTTTTCTGTCGGGCCAATAGTTATAGCTCATTGTCTTGATATGCCCGCCATTGCGACCGGTGGCACCTGAGCAGATATCGCGAGCATCGATCAGAACTACCTTCAGGTTGGTAGTCTTTTGGTATAGTGTTCTCGCGAGGCTCATGCCGGACATTCCAGAGCCAATGATCACGACATCTGCATTGTCGATCCAAGAAGATTGGGTGCGAGAAATAGGTGCAGGTTGGGAGAGCCAGAATGATTTGGTCGAGTTGGAGACTGGAATTCCTGGATCAACCAGGCCTGGTTCATAAATTCCATCTGGGGATCCGGACATATTGAATGATAGAAAGAGAACTTGACTTGAAGTGCGAGTATGTGTAGAAAATATTTGATCTTCAACTGAATTCTTACCACAAGATAAGAGACGAGACGCCTCGAGAACCTCCAAAGAGCAATATATTCCGGATGGGCTATCTATTTCCTAATTAGGCAAGTCAAACGAGGGGAATGTAGTCCTAATTAAGAGAAGAAATGCGCTTTTCTTCCACTTCCTCAATACTCTATAGGCTTTATGGGTCTGAGCTCATATCTAGATCTAGCCTTGTCGAAGTACACCATGTTCGGAAAGTGATATGAAAGTCCAAGATTATACTCACCATTTCTAGGCAATCTAATTGACTTGACATGTATCAATTCAATAGAATTAGTAGAGTACACACAAAAGAGTCTAGTTTGATCATGGAGCTCTCGGACTGGGACAGTCAAGAACTATTGCATTTTCATATGGATGCTTGAGATGAATTGACATAGCTTGAGCCACCTAGCTTCCCCTTCTTACTAGACATGCTCGTAATGTGCTGTCGTTGGCCCTTGAACTTTTTCTCCAAATTGTGTGTCCAAGATACGATCCCTCTCTGCGTCGACAAATGTCTGCGGTCGCTTACGTTGAGTCAGCTCTTGCTTGCCACATACAATCGATGAGGGATGTTGGATGAAAATTTCGTCCATATCCTCCAAGGTGCGTCGGGAAGTTTCTGGATAGAAACAGAAGATTATAGGGAAGAATGACCAGGCAATGATGGCGAAAACTAGATATGCAAGGTCAGCTTCCAGTATCGAAAAGAGGGACCCATATAGACTCACTGAGATAAAACCGCCAGTGTAGATTATTGACACCAACACTCGTGAACTGCGTCACGATAAATCCACCCATCCAGTTTGTTGCTGTAGCCGCGGCAGCCCCTCGGGTGCGCCATGCAAGTGAGTTCACCTCGGAGTTATAGACCCAGGGGACTTTGGCGAAACTCGTTCCATAGAAGAAGTAGTACAAAAAGAACATGGCAGTGGTCACTCGTCCCATCTGCTTCCATTAGCTATGAGATTGATCTGGATGAACGGAACCACTTACCAATTGTTTTCGTGAGGCGTCGCTCTCGCTTGTTCGAAGGCACATTGCAGCAACGAGATAGCATGCGCCCATAGTTATCGAGCCATAGAGCATGAGCCTCGAATTTAACGTCAGTGCATGTTTGTTTAGACAAAGCATTGAAGCTCCTCTTAAGTATCACTTACTTGCGACGCCCAAAACGATCAATAATTGCCAGACAACAAAATGCGGCGAATAGATACGTCGTGCCATTCACAGCAGTGAGCAAGCGGCTCTCCTCTTCTCCGAGTCCGACACTTTCCTGCAAGAGAGTTGGAAGATAATATCCGAGAGCATTCACACCACTGAATTGCTGCATAAACTGAGTACCACAGGACAAGAGTAGCCGCCGGAGGTTTTGCGTCTTGTCGCGGCACATCAAGACATCCGCCATCGGTACCTGGCTTTGACGCTCAACCTCAAGTGCCGACCGTATGGATAGGAACTGAGCAGTCACACTTGGATCATGAACGTCCTTGTTCTTACCCTCCAGTCTCGCGAGTACTGCAAGCGCCTCCTCGTGTCGATCCTTGAGCAAAAGCCATCTCGGGGACTCGGGAACAAATATCAGTGCCACCACCACGATGCATGGGAATATGAGTTGAAATCCCAGAGGGAACCTCCATTGCAGTGCCTCGCCTTGAAAGAATAAACCATAGTTCATCCAGTTAGCCAGACAAAAGGCTACCGTGTTGGAGAGAGAACCCACTACCACGAGCTTCCCCCGAACTCGTGGTTTGGAGCACTCAGCTTGGTACACAGGGCACGTCGAAGAGGTCAGTCCCATACCGAAGCCATTGATAATACGGCCAATGATCAGCTGTGGGAAATGCCAGGAGACAACCTGGAGGACCGCACCAATGGTATTGCACACCAAGCCAAGAGCAATTGTCTTCTTTCGACCGAGCCTGTCGCCGAGAGTAAAAGCAAATATAGCACCGAAAAAGGCCCCAAGCTAAATATCATCATTAAGATCACATCAGATGAGAGTCATGGGTAAGAAGATGAGCTCACAGAGAAACAACTCGATGTAATGCCAGAGATATTTGACTCTTTCGTCTGTGGGAAGTGTTGCTTGAAGTCGGCTGAGATTAAGACTCCTGAGAAGACTCCTTGATCATACCCAAACCATGCCATTGAGCTGAATCGTGCGTTTATTAAGCATTGTTCTTTGCGTAGGATTTGATTGAAGACTCACCAGGCATTTGCGACAGTGATCACAGTGATCAGCCATCTTCCACTGAGCCGACTTGAGAGATCCAAGTTACCCATTATTTCAAGTGATTTGTTTGAATTCAAGGCCATGTAGAATCAGGTCTAAGGTTTGTGGGGTCCATTAAATACCCCTTGCTCTTCTGATCCTTTGCCATACTCTCCAAGCCTTGGGGGGAGAATGAACAGCCTGTCATGGGGTGCTTGTCAGCCACACAAGCACAGTATACCGAGGTAATCAAGGAGAACTCAAGAAGTGACGAGGCTCAATTCCCCCACAAAGGTGGAGAAGGGAAAACGGCATTCCCCATGGGGAAGACAGGGGGAAGACGGGGATATGCGGCACGGGGGTAAGCGGCATGGGCTCACTACAAAAGATGCTGAAAAGCCACAGAAACTAAATATGAAGCCAAGAAAAGGTGATCGTGTATGAAAGAGAAGAACTGGGGCACAAACGGGGAAGTGCAAGCCGTCGCCTGTAGAGGCCTCAGGCACCCAGGCCATAATGCTAGACCTCTTGCAATGTCCAACTCTTTTGTCCAGAGAATCTAAATTCCAAATACCTGTAAGATTCGGCTGAATATTGACGTGTCCCTGAGTTGGGTATATCAGACATGAATGTTACGAGAGGAAGCTCATTTATATAGTTAGGTATTTATTTCGCTCGGTAAACATCTAACAGCTGGGCGATCTTTCGCTCAGCGAGACTGACTGGGATACTAGATCTCTCACAGTGTCATGAAATGAATGATACTTATATCCCAACTCCTTTGCAGCAGTTTGACCATCCAACCCACAACTCTCATCAATGAATTGGTCTTCTTGTGTGACTTTGGTTCCCAGATCAGGGAACTCCTCCCCTATGATCTTTGCAGCCAGGCCATAGGAGAATCGCTCTGGAGACGAAGGAACATATCGATTACCACCCACCTCTTCTCGAAGTAGTGACTCGACATGGGCAATGGCCAGGTCACGGACATCAATCCAGAATGGCACTCGTGCAACAGGCAGAGGGTTTTCTCCGTTGGCAATCCTCCACAACATCGCATTCGACTCGTTCAGTTTATCCACATGAGTAACGGGGTGCACCACCGGCCCAAACGTCATAGGTGGACATAGTGCGACAATATTGAATGTCGGACTGTGTTCCTCCACATATTTCCAAGCTTCCAGCTCAGCGAATTTCTTCGACCCGCGATACGCGATTATCGCATTCGTAGCTGGATCCACGGACTCCTCGTAGGTGAGAGGGTTCCAATCTGCACCAGTGTAGGTGAAATATGGAGGACTTTTGCGATTGGTATCAAGGACGGAGGCGAAGGAAGAAGTAATGACGATGCGCCGTATTTGTGGATTGCTGCTAGCCGCTTCAAGAACTGCCCGTACACCATTTATTGCGGGAAGGATAAGTTCGCGTTCATTGTTCGTTGTGTTGTATGTGAAGGGCTGTGTGACCGAGTTGTTAGTAAGTGGAAACGGAGAAGATCAATGACACTTAGGCTTACGCTGGCCGTATGGATCACTCCGTCTACTCCTTGAGCAGCTTTCATCAAGCCCCCAGGCCTTTCAAAGTCATCGATTTGCACAAACTCCAGCCTGCTTGAATGCTGTGGACGAGCCTTGATCATAGCATCGCCTTTCTCCAATGAACGAGTTGCGCCGCGCACTTGCATACCACGAGCGAGCAATACGTCGACGATGTGAGCTCCGATAAATCCGGTCGCACCCGTGACAAGAATAAAATTAACCATTGTTTTTCTGTTGAAACAAAGAACCCATTGAACGCAGTCAAGAGTGTAGGAATAAATCAACCACATGCGCAGGTATATATTGTCTCACTAGCCAATGATCATCCACGGGGGGAAGCGGCAACTCCACTGAAATCCCCGCAGTCGGCTTTCGTTGCGAGATCCTGACGATGTTGGGGTGCAATAATATGTTATTGTCCTATCTCGGGGTTGGTATGGATGTATGGATGTGAGAAGTAGAAATAGTGGGAATGAAAGCACTATTTCTACTTCCATCCTCCCGTGTTTTCACTGATATATCTTTTCAAGTTGAATCCCTGATACTGTTTCCAGATATATTTCATAATGAGTGCTGATTTCTCCGTGCACGTACAGGATGTCACAATCACTTCTTTTGAAGTCATTGACCTGCGATTCCCTACGAGCCTAGACGGTGTAGGGTCGGACGCTATGCATGTGGGCACCAATGGCTCACATCCTTACATCCAGCTGAAAACAAATAAAGGATTTCTGGTTGGAGAGGGCATTGTAAGTCTGAGATTCACTTCTGGGTGGGATTCCAGTGCTGAGACAGTTTCACCCTAGGCATTTAGCAATGGCCGAGGCAGCGAGCTGATCTGTATGGCTCTCGACATATTCGCCCGACGGGTTGTGGGTAAAACCATGCATGAACTGACACGCAACATGGGGAAGACATGGAGGTACATGGTATCCGACTCGCAGTACCGCTGGATCGGTCCTGAAAAGAGTGTCACTCATTTGGCCGTCGCGGGAGTATTGAATGCTGTTTGGGACCTCTGGGGCAAGATCCTGGGCAAACCGGTCTGGAAAATCGTCTGTGACATGGATCCGGAGGAGGTTGTGAGATGTATTGACTTTCGGTATATCACGGATGTCATCACCCCCGAGGAAAGCATTGAGATGCTCAAGAAAACACAAAAGAACAAGGAGTCTCGCTTGCAAGAGGCTCTCGAAAATCGAGCGGTTCCAGCATATACCACGTCTCCTGGGTGGTTAGCCTTCTCTGGAGATCGGATGCGAGAGGTACTCCAAGAAACCATTGCGGCAGGATATACTACGTTCAAATTCAAGGTTGGAACCAATGTGGAAGCTGATCGGGAACGTTTGGCCGCAGTGAGAGAGGTTCTGGGGTATGATCAAGGTCACCAAATCATGATCGACGCCAACCAAGTCTGGAGTGTTCCCCAAGCAATCGAATACATGAAACAGCTGGTGGAATTCAAACCGGTGTTTATTGAAGAACCAACCAACCCGGATGATGTTTTGGGACATGCGACTATTCGCAAAGCTCTCAAACCGTATGGTGTGGGCGTCGCAACAGGCGAGGCAGCACAGAATCGCGTCACTTTCAAGCAACTCTTGCAGGCGGAGGCGACCGATGTTTGTCAAATCGATGCCGTGCGACTTGGCAGCGTCAATGAATGTCTCGTAAGTGCAGCTTTGCCTTATCCTTGCTCGGCTATCCTGTCTAATGACTAACTGGGGCAGGCCGTCATGCTCATGGCACTGAAATTCAATGTCCCATGTGTGCCTCATAATGGTGCCATGGGCCTCACAGAATTGACATCTCACTTGAGCACAATCGATTACATCGCTATCAGTGGACGCAAATCAATGCTAGAGAATGCCGACAGCCACCGGGAAAATCTACGCCATCCTTCCAACATTGAGAATGCCCACTATGTCACACCACTCGATCCAGGATATTCAACCGGGTATACTGACACAGCTTTGGAGAAGTACACGTATCCATCAGGGAGCTTCTGGGAGAGTGATATTGGACTTGAAATAATTGCTCAGCCCACTGGGGGAGAACTGTAAATAGATGAAGTTATCCAGCGCATCGATCGCATCGATTCGGTGAATTAACCCCTGCAGGGTCATTGCATAAGCTGTCAAATCATGACTCGTCAGCGATTCATACGCGTGAAAAGTCTTTGCTTTTTCTGAACATCTTCAAGTATAGTTATAACAGCTTCAAGGCTGGAAAAAGCCCACGGTCGGATATTATTCAAAGCCAGGCTTTGTAGTGCGTCAATATCGGCCACCAAATGTTGCAAAGCGGGATTGAGTGAAGCGAGCGTTAAAATGACAATGGCACCCAGTGATCTGTAGGATTTATATCGTCAGTATTTGTCAAAGACTTCTCGATCCACGTGACATACGATAAAGAGAATGTCCATGTGTACTGGCTCGGGTGCTTCAGGATCCGGGTGGTGCTGTGAACGTAACATCGGCAGCTCTCGATGCAAATCCCAGCCTTCTCAACAATATCATGGGATATGCAGGTGAAATCGTGAGTCACAATAAAGAGGACAAATGGCCTGTATATGATATGACGCGCGGCAAAATACCGAATCCGTAGTATTGCCTGGCGATCATCCGATTCCTGCATGGAAGCTTCGATGTTGAGTTTTGGACGAATGCTGTCTGGTATCGAAGAATGCCACAACTCGAGTTGTGAACGTAGCTCATCGCAAACTGCACTCATGGATGATATATCATCCATAGAAAACTCCTCCGGTGTGGTCAATGTGGTGGACGATAGCGTTAAACCGTGCTTTTTGCTCGGGTAGAGGGAATTATGCACACGGTTTAGTAATCTTCGAATAGATATCTCTGCCAGGTAGCAGGTCGATTGCATCATCCCAAGATTAGTGCATTCCGGAAGACTAATTTCGTCGGTCAGTTGTTGCAAACCACTTCGTGGGAGTTCCAGCTCGGCGAGTCGATCGCACTCAATCAAAAAGCAGGACCAAAATAGACGGATCAAGCTCTCTCGCCACCAAGGTTCTTTCTGTTGGCTGTCAATTCTGCGCTATGATTAGAGTTATTCTATCTTTGGGGCCGTCAGGAACCTTACCCTGAAAGTTTGAACTGAATTATCGTCGTGGCGGAGTAGATGAGTCGCCAACTTTGAAGGGGGCGGACGATATATGCGAAGTACACGCTAGCAAGAACAAGCGCTTGTGGTAGCACGAGGCTAGATGAGAATGACCATGCAGACTGGCTGAGGAGGGTTGGCATGGCGTGCTGCATGTACTCCATGCCTGGGGGCGAATGAAGAAATGCATGCGCATCTGATGGTAAACCAGCGACGGCACCAAGTGCTAGCACAACCATGCATAAAGTCGATTCAATACTCGAATCAGGCCCATTCTCCAGAAACCCGCTGAAGATATCTTGAAACCTGCCTGGATCCAAGATCGGATGATTATGATGAGCTGACGCGAAGAAGATAGATACTAAATTAGTAGCCAGATCGTTTTCAATTTCAATTGATGGTTCTGGTACTGACGGCCATCTCTCGAACGACAGCTCCGGAGGGAGGTGAGCTCGTGATTCTAACATGAAAAACAAATCGGTCGGATACTCCCCGATGAGGGATTTGACCGAGGGTAAGCTCAGGAGGTAACTAGAGGATGTTTTGTGTTTGACTGGGATTGTCAATGGGGGTAGTTCTGGCAAATTTGGTTGGATGTCTAATCCGGAGAATGACCAGGGCGAGGGCATGGTAGCATTCGGACGCTCTCTTGCTAGGGCCGATATGCGGCCAGGGGGCAGGGCCTTGGGGACAGCATGGGCACCAATATGGGGCTCTCTGATTTCTGAGATTTGATGTGACTGATTCTTGAGCATTGCCTCGATTTCATGTAAGCGGGTGAGGATTTCTCGAGTGCCACCGGAGGTGTCGATCCTATCCTTGTGAGACGACATTCGCCCATGGATAGTCAGTTAACCGACACGAACCTCTGGGAAGGTAAATCATCATAGTGACATTCCACTTCTAGCTCTCTGCAGTGAGCACATGATGGCTTTTGAGCATCACATCGCCGTTTCCTGCATTTCACTTTAGCACTGGCATGAGACATTGGGGACAGATCCCCTACCGACTTCGACAAAAAGTACAAGCCAGTGCTGCTCGTTTTCTGCTAAAACTCATCTTTTAAACTTGTGTGTTGATTGTTTTTAGATGTCGATGCTGACGCTAGAAATCAAGTCATTTGGAGAGAATGGCAACGTTGGGAACCACTGAGACCTCCTCGGGGCCCTTGGAGCCCTGGAGCTTGGGGGAGCTGAGTCATCACCTATTCTCCCCGCAGAATCCTTTACAAAGTAGACATCGTCTAAGATAGATACCTCATTTCGTGATGTTGATGTTTTAGAATTCCATCTCAAATCATTTGCATTTAATATGACCCATAACTGAAGTAGTATGTGAAATTTATAATTAATGACGATTTTACATTGAGCTGGGGCAAGTATATATCCCCATATGAACAGCCAATTTTACTACTTCAGACCATAAACATATCCTTGACTTTGTCCATGGACCTGATGTCCACCGTAATCAAGCCATGTAAGAAGAGAAAAGAGTCATAACTCGAAAGGTACTTGTATAGAGAATTGATTCTGTCTGGCCTGATATTTCCTCTCTTGGGGGGTTCAACTTTCCGAATTCGGATCAATAGTTAATCCGATATCTCAGTGAAGCCTAGGTCACCTGACCTTGGAAGATCATGGAGGCCTCGGCACCTTCAAGGTCCAAGGCAGTTGGGGCCAGTCTTTCATTCCATAATTTGATGTGAAAGTTAATCGCAAAATGGAAATCCGGATCATGAGAGTTATGTCACCTGATAAGGTCTAGCACCACGGAGACCCTCCGCTCACATGGTCGGGGTTATCTCCGAGCACGTTCCGGATGTGCAATGGCTGGATATCAACTCTTCCAACCGGCAATGAAACAGAATCACCTGAACTTCCAAGGTTGTTACACTGGAAGACTGCCCAGGTGCCGGTGTGCTCGCCGTCGGTTCCATCCGAGAATAGCACGTCTCATGGCTCCGTCATCGCATTTAAGCTTGAGGGTCACATGTGACCGGACATGAATTCAGACTTGCTAAATTAAAAGAACAGTTTGTAGTTTGTCGAACCTGGTGGTGCAGACTCCAACTCTGTTAACGTCGAATATCCTGCAAAATCCCCCCCCAACCATGACTTCAACAATATCATCTCTGTTTGGTTACAAATCCGATCGCTCCGGAGCACCAAAGGCCTTAGAAGAACCCCTTAAAGCTCTCCCGGCTTCCTGGTACCGCTCACCAGAGATGTATGAGTTGGAGAGAAGAGCGATTTTTTCGAAAAAATGGATTTTGACCACTCACAAATTGCGTTTCGAAAAACCGGGAGACTTTTATCGCTTCGAGATGGCTGGATTTTCATTTGTGCTTTGTCTCGACCGGGAGGGTAACTGGAACGGCTTCCACAACATATGCCGACATCGTGCATTTCCCATCATCTCCCAAGACGAGGGTAACATTCCGATCCTTTCTTGCAAGTATCATGGATGGTCATATGGCCTCAATGGAAAATTAGCCAAAGCGCCCAAATTTGACGACGTGCCAGGATTCAAGAAAGAGGAGCAAAGCCTATTCCCGGTTCATATTCATCTTGACGCGCTAGGTTTTATCTGGGTCAATCTTGACTCCTCCCCAACCCCAATTCCCTGGGAAGAGGATTTCCAAGGTGTCGACACACAAGAAAGGTTCAAGCAATTCGATTTCAGCCGGTATAAATTTGACCATACCTGGCATATGAATGGAAACTACAATTGGAAAACCTTGGCAGACAACTACAATGAATGTTATCATTGCACTGTGGCCCACCCGGATGTGGCGAAACTTGCCGACCTGTCATACTACTACACCATCTCGAAACCCGGACACATTCAACATTTCTCCCGCCCGAAGAAAGACAAAATGCAAGACGACATCAAGAATGCCAGCACGTACTATTTCCCAAATGCTTGCATGACGGTTTCGTGGGTTCCCCTTCATATCAAAGCAAAGCAGTGAGAACTGATGCCCTTCACTATAGACCGCACTTTTTCTATCTGATGCGATGCGTTCCAACTTCAGTGGGGACTTGCTCCATGGAATACGAGGTGTATCGGCATAAGGAAGCCTCCGATCAAGACTTCGAGTACATTGACTCATTTTTCAAACGAGTTTTGAACGAAGACAAACATCTTTGCAATGCAGCTCAAAAGAATCTAGATGCTGGTGTATTTATCAATGGGCAACTTCATCCAGACCTCGAGAGCGCTCCTTTGTTCTTCCAAAACAGTGTGAGGGGTCTTCTCAGGAAACACCGCGAAGAGGAAAAACGCGAGAAAAAGGAACTCTGGCCAGCTCGCCAGAGCTCCTCGGGGTCAACCACCGCGGAGGATATTGAGTTCTGTGCGGAACTAGCATGTAGTAAGAAATCTAGTAATCTTCAATGGTAGTTTAGGAGAAGTTGAGCTGATCCAATGTAATTTTGGGGGTTTTCTTTTCCCTTTTTGCCTTTGATCCGGCCAAGCACCGAGTTCTAAGAATAGTATGAGAACATATCCATTGGATGGAGATAACTGGCATATATTGAACACTACACTACACATGTATGTACGATATGTCTAGTGGACCCGAGAGACATGTGACCCCGCACTTTGAAATATAATCTTTCACTCTGTGAGATTCATGGGACTCCCAAGTAAGTATCAATGAGTTCCCGTATCAGCAAGAGATCGCATCAGGCTTGTGAAAACTGTCGGTATGGACTTCGTTCATATAAATATATCACCCACTGACATGGTATAGACGAAAGAAGACACGTTGTCCTGGAGAAAGACCAGCTTGTTCAACTTGCACTCGTCTTAACCAGACATGTCGCTATAGCAGGAGTCATGACTCATTGGAGCGACCCGGTGATCGGGCTTTGGTGGGGTTTGACTTAATCGACATGATCCTAGGATACTAACCGAGCTGTAGGAAGATCGACTACATCACCTAGAAGAGAAACTGGAGATGATGTTGGAAAGATCGATGTATGCCCGTTGAATCCCGCAGAACCATGAGACGGATCTGATTTCGATAGTCCGAATAACCATTCTGCAACCCCCAAGTCCTTTTCATGTGGACCTGCCGATGTATACGAGACTACCTCACTGTCTCCCCAAATCCTAGGTGATCCCCTAGCCATGAGGGTATCTCATTGTGGTAACCTGGATGACAGTGCGAATGTGACACCATTCATCGTTCCATCCAAGGAAACTATCGTTGAATCTTTCAGTCTGTACCTGCAGTATTGCCACAAACAGCCGTTGTGGCTTTTTGACGAAAAAGATCTATCAAATCCAGAGGCGTATTGCCAGGAAGTCATGTTTGGTATCCTCGCGTTGGCTCTGCGTTATTCAGACAACCCCTTTTTCAACGGTCAAAGGGACAAAATGTGCCAGGAATATGCCGAGGCTGCCCGTGACCTTGTTATGCTTCGAATAGCCAAGGGAAAAGTACAAATTTCTACGATACAAAGTCTTTGTCTTATCGCACTGGGCAATTTTATTGGTGAGTTATCTGCCCAACCTATGAGTAAACCCAACTCATAATCATTCATTTTGCAGCCAATGACACTCATATGGCTTGGCTACACATTGGACTTGCGACAAGCCTCTCTAAATGCGGAGGACTTGACATTGAGCCGCACAATGGAGAACTCACGGATATGATGGAGACAAAACGAAAACTGTTCTGGAGCATTCACCTCCTCAACCGGCAATATGGCCCAGACAATATGCAACTGAGCCTGCTGCACGACATTCAGCGTCCAGAGTATATGGGGGTCAACATGGACACCATGAGAAAAATAGGAGTAACGCCTCCCCAGCCGCCATGGGAAACCGGAAATACAACACAACCCGGAGGTATTTGGATATACATGGTGCAACTATCCACTCTGTGGAGTGAAGTTCAACATTACATTTCCCATTGCGCCAGCGGAGACTCAACACCCCCTGGTCATTGAAATCGGGTTATTCCACAATAGGAGCTCATCTAATGAACATTGAAACGAAATTTCCCACATCACATCGATGGGACTCGGTGAGATTCATGGACCATTCGAAAGAAGACTTGCACCAGAACCGTGGGTATTGGAGCCCCTGGATCTATCTCCAGTTTACATATCACGCCATCCACAGTGTCCTCAACCATCCGTTTCTTTATTCGTGGAGACCTCAGCAGTCTTGTCAACTTGGCGTCCCAAACACATTTTGGAAAACGTCATCTGAGCTAGCTCTCATCCATACCACATGGACAGTTCGTCTGATTGAGATTATCAAAGACAAAAGCTACCAAGTATCGGACCCATTCCTTGGACATCTAGTAGCCATCGCTGCAACAATTCAACTTTACTACTGCCGTGCGGCAGATTCAACCATCAGGGACTCTGCACAAAGCAAAGTTGATATTTGTCTGAAGTTTTTAGGACAGCTTGCCGAAAGATGGCCAAGATGCCAGGCAATAGTGAGTATGATCCAACAATCAAAGGGCTCAACGAGCTTACGAAATAAAATAGTACAAAAAGCTAGAAATAATTCTGCAGTCTGCGTTCGCTTCAAGTGCAGCATCGAAGACCCTGAATCCTCCCCGAAGAACGCTATCAATCAATACTGCCTTGATGTGGGAGATTCTTCTCTACAACTCGCCAAGAACTTCATCTGCGCACATACGTGGAGGCCTTTTCGATGTATCCTTTTTCCAAGCAGTCGAGGGCAAGATAGATGACAAAGAGACTGTTGAGACAGAGATTTTTCATCATTCTACAAGACCAATCGATACATCAGATGGAGGTCAAGCATTACCACCCTACTCAAGCGCTGCGACCGGTCGATTCTCTTTGAGAGATGCGCAGCAGAATGAACAGGAGTCTTGGAATCAAGGCCCTTCTGCCCCTGCGGACAATATCGAATATTTACCAGAAACCATGACCTGGTCTGGACCTGGACTCCGGGATGTATCTTGGATGGACCTTTCACATGATCCCCTTTTTCAACTTCAAGACCACCCAAATCCCAACTTGGGAATATGGGACATTGGAAATTTATAATTTGGACAATCTTTTCTAAGCAAGACTCTCCCGTTACATGTGAGGATAGCTTCAATTGTACTATTTGCTCTGAGACAATTTTCAATCGTGATGCTTTCTTCCGGGAATGGGTAGTGTTGATCTGATCACAAGCCCGGAGCTGCTTTAAAATTAGATATACTCGATTATAGGCTTATTCTAGATTCTGAAGTGTTTTGACAACATGTGTAAGGAGATACTGTGGTGTTTCATAGAAGCGAATCACTAGGGAGGGTTCAATCTTTTTCTAGCCTTCGGATCTCCTTTCCCTTCAATTGATATAGACTGTCTGATAGGACGAGACAAGCTTCGAAACAGGTATTTCGTCCATCCTACAAATGTAATGTCCATTGTGGTATTGATCCAGTCCCATAGGGTGCGATAAATGATGCGGGCGCGAATTAGTTTGTGGATATTCAGTTGAAGATATTGACCAATGCACTGTTCACGGTGATTTAACAGCAATGATAGGAATTTACCGCCTATGCGACCGGAAGGAACTATATATTCGCTTCAGTCAAAGAATCATGGACCCCAAAAGGGCTCCGCGCTCGGTTTCATGCAATCATCTTCTATAATGACAGAATGGGAGTTAGATTGGTAGGTGGCTCATCTCCATCTGTGCATTATACCCTCACCTGATTCCGAATATAACGGCTTCTCACATGTTGATGTTGAGACAGGTGAGTGGGTTGGTGGTTATAGGTTGAAGACAGAAGAACTATGTGTGATGGAACTGAGCATTTTAGTATTTCGAACATGGAAGGCGAGCAAGGTTGGAGATAATCTAGACATCAAATCGCCAACAAAAAAGAAGTCTATATGGTAAACTACAGCAGGTTGCAATCTATTGAACAAGTTTCTCATGTGCAGGTTCATCCCCGATCTCCATCATCTTCCTCTCCAATAACCTCGTCATTTCAATCACGGCTTCCGCATACTTCGGATCCGCATAACAATTGAACAACTCGAGCGGGTCTTCCTGACAGTCAAACAACTCCCATTCACGACAGTCCTCGCCGCCTGGCCGCGCTCCATCGACGAGCAAATCATCATTGTACCAGTAAATCAACTTGTATCGATGATTGCGGACTCCATAGTGCGCATACGCTTCGTGTTCAGCATCATTGTGCATCCAGTATCTGTGATACGCCAGCTGATCCCAATCAGCGGGACAATTGCCACCCAAGATTGAGCGGAAGGTTCGGCCCTGCATGTAGGTCGGCGTGGTGATGCCGGCGAAATCCAAAAATGTGGGCGCGAAATCCACATTGCAGACAATGTCACTGCAAACACTGCCAGGCTTGATTTCTTTGGGATAACGAATCATCAACGGCATTTGGAAACTCTCTTCGTAAATGAACCGCTTGTCAAACCATCCATGTTCACCAAGGAAGAAGCCTTGATCCGATGTATAGACGACAATGGTGTTATCGGCCAACTCCGGATCTGAATCGAGCAGGTCGAAGATTCGGCCGACATTGTCATCCACGCTCTGAACGGTACGGAGGTACCGTTGCATATAACGCTGGAACTTGAACTCAGCCAGTTCCTTTTTGGATTCAAAATGGAAGACGGTGCCGTCCTCGTTGTCAATGAGCCTCATCAGTCGAACTGCCTCGTCCGTGGAAGGCGAGGGAACCTTCCGCATACCACCGGGCATCTTCTCTCCGACCTTTCTCCGATCCCCATCGGGCTGCGCTAGACCTAGGTCCTTGTAGGACAAGTCTTCCGAGACTCGCATTTTCGCGATCGCGGCCGCCTTTGCACGATTTTTGTAGTCATCCGAGAAGGTGTCGGGTAGCTGGATGGGGTCTTGGTACAGATCCTTGTGCTTCTCCTGGTATTCCCAGCTCCGATGCGGTGCTTTGTGGTGGCACATGACGAAGAATGGCCTGGACTGGTCTCGACCTTTGATGAAATCGAGAGTCATATCTGTAATGATATCCGTAGCATATCCTTCCATGACTTTTGTACCATCGGGACCAATGAACTCAGGGTCATGATATTCGCCTTGGCCCGGGAGGATGGACCAAAAGTCAAATCCAGTAGGTTCATGCATTTTCCCCTCCCCCAGATGCCACTTGCCGATCATGGCGGTTTGGTAGCCACCACCTCGGAGTTGTTTTGCGACGTTCGGAGTGTGACGTTGGATTTTGGAATGGAGGGACATCACGCCATTGACATGGTTGTGCGTGCCAGTCAGAATGGCTGCTCGCGATGGTGTGCAGATACTGTTGGTGACATAACAGTGATCGAAGCGCATTCCCTCATTGGCGATCCGGTCGAGGTTTGGCGTTTGGTTGATTCCAGCCCCGTAGCAGGAGATGGCCTTGGAGGCATGGTCATCGGCCATAATGAAGATGATATTGGGTCGCTTGGACCCTACATTAGCGGCCATGATGGGCTTTTCGTGTCAGCAAATGCAAAAGACAAAGAAATGAGCTGGAAGGGGAAAAGACGAAATTGTCACGACTGCGCTCGCAATTCTTTGAAGAGGAGCTGGGCATGGTGTCTTATTAGCCAAGAATTGTGCCTTCATACGACACAATCTCCAAGTTCAATGTTACGTTGAAGATAAAAGGGAATTCTTTTTCCCCGGACACGGTAGTCGGGAGAAATTATACGGATGTCGGTCAATGTGTCTCAACTTGGATTAGTCACCCCACCTGCCCGTACACCTGCCATTACCTCGGGGAGCTCCATCCACTTAAAATGAGAACTGACACTATCAGAATGTTACTCAACAAGTATGGGGACTCTTTTTGAGTATAGACTTACACCATGCCGACTTCCGATCCAATGATACTACCTTATTTATCCGTTTTCAGATCGCCAAATCCTCGAGCAAAACAAGTCTGTCAACAGTGCCGAGCTCGGAAGGTATTCCTTATCCATGACCAAAAGTTAAGTGAAATTTACTGACGGAATTAGGTCGGTTGTGATGGTCGAGTTTCTACTTGCCGCAACTGTGAGCGTCTAGGCTTTCAGTGTTCTTTCACCCAGGGTGAATCCCTTCTAGTGGCTGGTACGCGATCCAGTCCAAGCAACGACGAAAGACCCGAGCGGTTACGAGGGCGGAGTTCCTGTTCACAATGTCGAGTGCGGAAGGTTCGATGTTCTAATACCCACCCACAATGTGCCAACTGCATCAAATATAACAGACTTTGTTCATATCCTGCATCGATGGTGGCCCAGCGACGTGACAGAGGTTCTGGGGCACATGGGGAACCTGGGGAATGTGATCTACCTGATGCTCCACCCTCGGACCCTCGAGGTCCTGATGCTTTTTCGGCACCTGAGTCAATGTCCGTTGCGCACGGCTCACTGCCGCCCGATCGAAGCAAAGAAATGGCGCAGGGAGATCCTTCCCATGGTGAAGCGATAGAACTGGTCCGCAATTTCTTCGAGCATCTCTATCCAGTTCCGTCTTATGCGTTTTTGCATCCGTCCACGACCTTGGCAAAATGCAACCAAGGCACATTAGAGCGACCGCTCCTTCTTGCCATCTGTGCCTTGACCTCCTTGCACGTCCCTGTACACAACGTGAGCGTCGACCGGGAGAAGAGTGCTGCATGGGTGTCGAATGCGGAAGAGACTATCTGGAAATGCCTGGAAACCCCGACCATGCCTCGTTTGCAAGCCTTGTTGCTTACCATCAGCTATCGAATGGCAACCGGGAGCTATGAAAAGGCATTCATGTTGACAGCTATCGCCGCCCGTGCGGCCTCTGCCATGGGTCTTAATCATGAGCAAACCCACTTGGACCCGATTTTGGAGGAGACCAGACGCCGCACCATATGGTGTTTCAAGTTGCTAGAGTCCTATTTCTCGATCGGGCTGACCGAATTTGAAGTCTGCCCCTTTGAGTGCATTTACTTACACCCACCGTCATTGGAAGACTCATTTGGGTTACTCTGTCCGCCCGGATCGGAAGACTTTGCCATTTTCGCGTTGCGAGATCAGAATGAGCGGGGGTCACTGAATATGTGTATTCGATTGGCCTCGATTCGCCGGGATATTATGAAGTTGACACGGGAGCTCGCCGTTTGCACCGAGCCTTACTTGCATCTCCAAGACGTGACTGGGGGTCTCGGGGAGATCCTCTGTGAACTCAAAGCGGAAATACTCAACCAAGCCGAAATCTCGACCACGGGGCTGAAGAATTTGATTGACAGTTCCTGGCTGCCCCGTCACATTATGACGTTTACCTTGTGGCATGGATGCTATTTTGACCTCTATCGTATTTTCCTCCCTGGGTACCCTGAAGCTCCGCCCTCTATCGTTCTGAGTACGATCGACGCGCAGTTTGTGCAGATGGCGACCCGAGCCTGTGTTGAACATGCACTGGCAGTCGTGAATCTGTTTTGTGACTTGAACCAGACCTGTACTAAGCCCCGGCTGCTGGAGTTTGCTACTGGAGTGTGCGTCTACCACGCCATTCGATTGATTCTATTTATCGCGCATTCGTCAACTGAGCCCGATCTTCTTAGCCTTGAATTCGCCGTGAGTCGAGCGGAGTTATGCCTGGCCGCTATCAAGCGATTTTTCCATGGACTCGCCTTGGCACAGCCCATCCTGGACGATATTGCGCAATTGATTGAAACATTCTCCTCCAGCGACTCCGCCACCGAAAGCCTTTCGGTCTTTCACAAAGTTAATCACGGTCGGAAGTCTGACACCCGGATTCTATCCGCTGCGCGACCTCGGCAACACTTGGCCGTTCATAGTGTTTTGCAACAAGCCAAATTTTTTACAGAGGAGTCTTGATAGCAATATTAGATATAAACAATTTAATTATTAACATATGTATCTTTTTGTGTACTTCCAAGGTTATCTTATCTACAAGATAAAGTCAATCCCCGCGAAAGAGGATTCCAAGGTTTCCGATCGGGGGCTAATGCAAGTTTAACCTTGTGATAGTGATACCTCGTGGACAGAGTGGGACCCCGGTAGTCGGTCAACATTACCATATTGGGATTATCCCCAGTTTCTTTCTTTTTTTCTTTTTTTTGGAGTTCAGCTTGCAAAGAGATAACAAGAGAGATTATGGGGAAATTGAAAAAAAAGTTAAAAAGTTCTATAGTTACAATCTACTATAATCACTTGTTCTTTTTTCTTTCGGTTACATGACCCCGGAATGTATACACCGCCCTTCAGATAAGATATTGTTGCCATAATAATTATTTATGACGCGATCTCGTGTTAATCTCCAGGCCTTCTTAGTGTGCAGTGTAACATCAAATTGATAACACTCTATATGATCTAGATCCCAAGACATAAATGTAGACACATCCCCCCCCCAAAAAAAAAGAAATGCCATCGAGCCTTTCTTTTTTCTGAACTCGACCTATACACACGATTCTCCTCGGTATGACAGTCGAAAACCCTGCCATTGGGTCGGTTTCGGAGACCATGAAGGAGCCTACCACCCAGTCCGAAGGGTTTGACACGACCGAAGCCTCCACTGGTACATTTTACTCCAGGGTCAGTGGCTGGTATGCCAGGCCTCTCTTCCAGCTGATTTTGGTCGCCCTCATCTGCTTTCTGTGCCCGGGCATGTTCAATGCCCTGAGTGGCATGGGAGGAGGTGGACTGACCGATGCAACCCTGGTGGACAAAATGGTAATATGGCCCCGTTTCTCTGTGGTGAACGGTACTAACCATATGGATTCCATAGAACACGGCTCTTTATGTCACCTCCGCCTTTACCAGTTTCTTTTCCGGTACGATCGTCAACCGACTGGGTGTGCGGATCACGCTCGCCTGTGGAGGTATCGGTTATTGTATCTATGTCGCCAGCTTGCTCACCTCATTACACAAACACGTCCCCGGTTTCAACATTTTCGCCGGCTTCTTGCTCGGTGTGTGCTCGAGCTTGTTATGGACGGCTCAGGGCACCATTATGGTGTCATACCCGCTGGAGCATCAAAAGGGACGCTTCTTCACTTTGTTCTGGTCCATCTTCAATGTTGGATCGTGTGTTGGCAGTCTGGTACGTCTTTGAAGATCCTCTCTTTTACGCTTGCGCATCAGTACACTTGCATGGAAACCCTAAAGGTCATCCATAATCATCTGCTAACTCCTGACATGGCAGATTGTTCTTGCCAACAGCATCAACGAGAAGAAAAACGTCAACGTACCAGACAGCACTTACATCGTTTTCGTCGTTCTGACATTCATGGGCTCTGCGCTTGGGCTGTTCATCGCCGATGCAAAGAAGGTGGTCCGGTCGGATGGGTCGAGAGTCGTTCTGATGAAGAACCCGAGTTGGAAGTCCGAATTTATCGGTCTCTGGATGACCCTCCGCAGTGAGCCATCTGTCTTGCTGCTTTTCCCCATGTTCTGGTCATCCAACTGGTTCATCTCCTATCAGACCAACTCCGTCAATAGCGCTTACTTCAATACCCGCACCAAGGCATTGAACACCTTCCTCTATTATATTGCTCACATCCTCGGAGCTTGCTTTATTAGCACCATGGACTTGAACTACTTCCGCCGCACTCTCCGTGCTAGGGGAATGCTGGTCATTCTCTTCAGTCTGACAATGATCATCCACGGCGGCGGTTATGTCTTCCAGAAACAGTACACTCGTCCCCCAGGCGGTGTGAAACCGTCCATCAATACGGACTGGACAGATTCCAACTATGGTGGGCCGATGTTCTTGTACTTTTCTTATGGCTTCTATGACGTGGTCTGGCAGGGTGCAGTATACTGGTATGTGATTTTCCTCTTCGTATGCATGTCAATGCCATCGAAACTTGCAAAGCTGACCAGGAAAAAAAATTCATTTAGGTACATTGGAACAATCAGCAACTCCGGTCGGAAGAGTGCCAACTACGTCGGCTTCTACAAAGGGATCCAGTCTGCCGGTGCTGGTGTCATGTGGGCATGGGACTCGACACACCCGGCGTATATGTCCGAATTTGCTAGCAACTGGGGCCTTTTGGCCGGCTCCGTCATTTGTGCCGCTCCTTTCATCTGGCTCAAAATCAAGGATCATGTGGATATCGAAGAGGATTTGGTGGGCACAGATGAGAAACTGGAGGATGTGAAGCCTGTTGATACAGAAATGCGCGAACGCGTAGCTTGACACTGAGGTAGGATGATGGCAGAAGTGATCGCAAGAGGACCTTGAAAAGTCAACAGGCACCCAGAAGCCCAAGGTTTGCCTCTGTGCTGGATCTATGTGCAAGGAGAGAGGACATGTATAATTACATAGCAACAAGACAATTAATACATTTATGCTAATACAACATGAGTACCACCCGTATCCTCCTATACCATGATGATGACAATGATGATGAATTCATTAACCCGATGTACCTCGCTATTACATACAGGCTGCTATGCGGGAGTAGCGTCCCGAAGCCTGCTCCTGACGACAAATGGTGGTGCACCCCCAGTATGCAAATCCACCCTGTATGCAGGGCTCAATTACTCGATTTCTCGAGTCCTCGAGGCCCTGCAACCTGAATTGTAAGGCCACAAACCGGCCAGTGTAACTAAATGCAGCAGAACACATGTCAGGGTGTCCGCCTGACCGGCTGGGCGCCCAGCGTCTAAATTACCCCTCTTTATTTTTTCGCCAGAACAGCGGAACCTATATATCCAATCCGGTAACTTATCATTAAGTCTCTATAGTACCTACAGACGTTGAACATCGTATTTATTGCCGTGTCCCTTAAAATGGATGGTTTATCCTCGGCAGCAAATGTTATCGCGGTTATTCAATTAACAGGAACCCTCGTGAAACTTTGCGGGGGCTACATTAGAGAGGTAAAAGATGCACGGGATGAAATCCTCGGCCTACAACAGGCGATTGCAAGCCTCCAAGGTACACTTCAAGAGCTGCAAATGTTCATTCGAAGTAACGATGCAAAGAAGCTTCCTGCCTCTTCCCAACTGGTCAGCGATAGTACCGATTGCCTCACCGACCTCCAAGCCTTGGAAGCGAGACTTAATCCACGGAAGGGAAAAAGGCTGATGAGGACACTGGGACTCCGAGCCTTAAAATGGCCTCTAAAGCGCTCAGAGGTGGAAGGTGTTATTCAGAAGACTGAAAGATACAAATCTTTATTCATCTTATCCTTGAGTGTGGATCAAACGTACGTTTATCCAACATGATAATTTGACTCAATTTTGTTGATTCAAAGTCCACATAGCTCTCTGATGGTCGGTGTGGCGCAGATTACCGACCGCATTAATCAGAATATGGACTGGATGAAGTTGGAAGGTGTGGCGGAAGCGGGATTTGAGTCATTCTCCAACCGAGACGAAGTTCAATGTCTCCAAGGCACTAGGACTAAGCTTCTCCAGCAGATAATGGAGTGGGCTATGTTGCCGTCCCCAAAAGCCATTTTTTGGTTGAATGGCATGGCTGGGACGGGAAAATCCACAATATCTCGGACTGTGGCAAGATCGCTCAAGGACAGTAACCACTTAGGTGCTAACTTCTTTAAAAGAGGTGAAGGGGAACGAGGGAACGCGAGGAAATTTTTCCCGACATTAGTAAGGCAACTGATGCTTAGGATCTCTGAGCTGAGGCCTGGTGTGCAAAAGGCACTCCACGATGACCCTGACATAACGTCAAAATCAATTAGTGAGCAGTTTAACAAACTACTCTTTCAACCGCTGCTCAAGCTTGACCAACTCGGCCAGCAAACTCAAATCGCTGTGATAGTGATCGATGCTCTGGATGAAGGTGAACATGATCAAGATGTACGAAACATAACCCGACTACTGCCTCGTCTGCAGGAGGCAAATGCGGTTCGCATCCGGGTCTTCCTGACTAGCAGGCCTGAGCTTCCAATCATCCTAGGCTTTTCAAAGATCGCAGATCATGATTATCGGAACCTGGCTCTTCACGAAATACCCGAAGAAGTGATAGAACACGATATAGAGTTATTCCTCCACGATCGATTTACGAAAATCCAACATGATAGGAATGTTTCTCGAGACTGGCCTGGCGTTGATGTCCTCCAAGAAATTGTCACAATGTCCGTTCCTTTGTTTATTTCTGCTGCTACTATTTGCCGATATATCGAGCATTCGAAATTGGAACCAACAATACGTCTGACAGAGCTCCTAAAGGACTCGCGTCAATATGCAAAAAAAATGGATAAGACCTATCTGCCAATTCTAAGGCGGCTCCTCGAGGATGAAGAGAGCGATAAGTCAGAGCAGCAGCAGCTCTTGCACCTGTTCAATAAAATAGTCGGTGCCATCATCCTTCTTGCAGTTCCTCTTTCAACAAACGCGCTGTCGCTATTTCTTGGTATAGAAGCGAACCAGATTGGCAATCTGTTGGATTCTTTCCGGTCTGTTCTAAGCGTTCCCAATGATCGAGATCTTCCTATTCGGATTCTACATCTTTCTTTCCGAGATTTTTTGATTCAATCCGAAAGTGAATTTCTTGTTGACGAGCCAAACAAGCATAAGGAAATTGCTTTGTTATGTCTTGAAAAAATGAGAAGCGATCTGCGGAAAAATGTCTGCAATCTAGAAGGCCTTGCAACCCGTAGGGCCGACATCGATCCTCAATCCTTACGCCGGCACTTGCCACCAGAACTAGAATACTCCTGTCGCTACTGGATACATCACCTCAAACAGAGCCCTGTCTCATCCTCCGAGGCCGAGTTTGTGTTGCTGTTTCTCCATGAGCATTTTCTACACTGGGTTGAAGCAATGAGCCTACTTGGTCTTGTGTCGGAAGTGGTGGGGATGCTGAATCTCCTCCAGAAGATGCAACTCATATGCCCCACTGGAAGCCACAAGGGCAATGACCAGTCTTTAATTTCCGAGTTTCTGCATGACGCAAAGCGCTTCATCCTGAAGAACCGCCAGATGGCCGATGATGTGCCCCTTCAAATTTACTACTCAGGACTTGTATTTGCACCTACAGAAGCGATCGTTCGTAGAAAGTTTGAAGCAGAAATTCCAAATTGGATAAGTCGGTTACCACATGTTGGGAAAACCTGGAGTTCAGAACTGCAGACCCTCGAGGGCCATTCGGCATCGGTTGAGTCGGTCGCCTTCTCGCCCGACGGCGCACTGCTAGCGTCCGGCTCCTATGACAAAACCGTGCGCCTCTGGGACTCAACGACAGGCTCGCCGCAGCAGACCCTCGAGGGCCATTCAGGCGGGGTTCAGTCGGTAACCTTCTCGCCCGACGGCGCGTTACTGGCATCCGGCTCCAGTGACAAAACCGTGCGCCTCTGGGATACGACGACAGGCGCGCTAGAGTATACCCTCGAGGGCCATTCAGAGGAGGTTAACTCGGTCGCCTTCTCGCCCGACGGAGCGCTGCTAGCATCCGGCTCTAGTGACAAAACTATACGCATCTGGGACACGAGGATAGGCGCGCTACAGCAGACCCTCGAGGGCCATTTAAAACAGGTTTTGTCGGTAGCCTTCTCACCCGACGGCGCGCTACTAGCGTCCAGCTCCCTTAACCAAACCGTGCACCTCTGGGACTCAGCGACAGGCGCGCTGAAGTATAGCCTTGAGGGCCATTCAGACTCAGTTCATTCGGTGGCCTTCTCACCCGACAGCGCGCTGCTAGCGTCAGGTTCCGATGACCGAACCGTGCGCATCTGGAACACGGCGACAGGCACGCCGCAGCAGACACTCAAGGGCGATTCATTATCGGTTCAGTCGGTAATCTTCTCACCCAACGGTGCGCTGCTAGCGTCAGGCTCCGATGACAACACTGTGCGCCTCTGGGACACGGCCACAGGCGTGACGGAGCAGGCCCTTGAGGGTCATTCAGACTCAATTCAGTCGGTGGTCTTCTCACCTAATGGTGCACAGCTGGCGTCCGGCTCCCGTGACCAAACCGTGCGTCTTTGGGACACGGCGACAGGAGCGCTACAGCATACCCTCGAGGGCCATTCAGGCTGGGTTTGGTCGGTCGCTTTCTCGTCCAGCGGCGCGCTTCTAGCGTCCGGCTCTTTTGACCAAACCGTGCGCATCTTGGATACGGCGACAGGCGCGCTAGAGCATACCCTCGAGGGCCATTCAGACGGGGTTTGGTCGGTGGCCTTCTCACCCGACGGCGCTCTTCTAGCGTCCGGCTCCCATGACCAAGCCCTACGCATCTGGGATACGGCGACAGGCGCGCTGGAGCATACCCTCGAGGGCCATTCAGACGGGGTTTGGTCGGTGGTCTTCTCACCCGATGGCGCTCTACTGGCGTCCGGCTCCCTTGACCAAACTGTGCGCCTCTGGGACACGGCGACAGGCACGTTGCAGCAGGCCCTCGAGGGTCATTCAAACTCAGTTCAGTCGGTGGTCTTCTCACCCGACAGCGCTCTTCTGGCGTCCAGCTCCCGTGACCAAACCGTGCGTCTTTGGGACACGGCGACAGGAGCGCTGCAGCAGACTCATCCTTTCAATGGAGTAGTCACTGAGCTCAAGTTTAATCACGATGGGTCATATCTAATCACTAATCTGGGCCCCCTTCATGTTCAATCCGGGGCCAAAATTCCTGCTGCTAGTTCAAACATCGTGATTTCGGGGATCTTCATCGAGCAACAATGGGCAAAGTTCAACGGCAAAAACATTCTTTGGCTTCCTCCTGGGTCTCGTCCTCGTTGTTCCGCGATCAATGACAATTTACTTGCCCTAGGATACGCATCAGGGCTTGTTTCGTTTTTAGAATTTCAAGCCTCGTGGTGCCAATTATTTTGAGTACTCTTTCTTCCTCTAATTTCTAATCTCTTTGTAAAAGAAGGACCTGGGAGGAGATGTCAATTCGTATGGCACTACATTGTTGGTGGAATGTTCTATTTTACGCAAAGTTTTAAATTCAATATACTCTATTCCGTTGTGGTTTGCCATATTTGAGCATGGTAATCATAAGCTAAGGCGGGGCAAAAAAAAAAGTACGTTCAGGACTTCATGGTGGAGACCCTCGGCAAGCCTTTATACTCGCATAGCTAAATGATGTGCACTCAGTGGACCCTTACCTCGTCACCTGGGAGTGAGAAAGGAAGTGACATCATGCAAGATTGCTATATTCTCAAGGCCCACTCCAACAACTCTTGACATTTGACTTGTTTGCATTGATTTGGAAAGTTCTAGTTAGCTATTCCTAGACCTCATAACCGCCCGCGAGCGGCCCTCTGAGGGCCGACAAACAGGACAAACAGGACAAACAGGGAAATCCCTAGAGTTGCATAAAATATGCATTTCTCAGCTGTATTATCTAGTATTTGGTTTACAGCTTAGTATTGTAGAAAATAAATACAACTAGGAGTAATCGTTTGAACGGGCTAAATAACATCAAATCTCAATGAAAATATCTTATTTTTCGAGGAACTAATATACATCCAAGCTTCAAGTTCTACAGCGTTTGTCACTCTCAATTTCATAACCATCAAGTTTACTTGAGCGCTTCCGAACCCTCCCTGAATGCCGTTGTGTATGAGGCAACTCAGGCTCACTACCCGCATCCTCCTCCTGCTCTTCAACCTCGAGCTCCGATTGAGTACGCTGCCTCCGTGGTGATTGACCTTGATCAACTACCACTTAGATAGTACTATCTTCATCCTCCACGTCCTCGTAAGTATCACTACTCTCGTCATTATCACTTATAGGTTCAAATAGGCCTTGCCAACTCCCATGGGACTGAAAAAATTTTGGTCCCATATCCTGGTCCCATCTACTCCCATGGGACTTGTCAGACGAGAATCTGACCCGCTCCCCGGCGAGTCGAATCTCTCCACAGCTTCTCCTGGTCTTCCCGGGGACTCTGTTGTACGCTACAGGTGTTGTTCAATCCGATCGATTGGATGGAACTTCAGGATTACGGGTGTGTAGAGAAATTCAATGGATGGGGTAGATTCTGTTAAAGACTACAGATACTGGATGTGTCCATGGGACCTGACCTCACCACGGGCGGTGAATTCGTCTCCGCCTCTTTCTGCCCTCCCCCTAGTCTTCCGCACGACCCAGTAAAACCCAGACCCAGTAGTGGGTCTGGGGCCCCAAGCTGGGTTACAAACTAAACAAACATGCTAAGGATTCTCAATGTATAACTTATGCATTTATTCGCGGTAATTTTGAGTATTTGCTTTACTTGATTATATCTAATTTTATTTGTAAAAAAGGTAAAAGAGATGCGTATAATTGAGGATTCTTTGTCAAGTAAGCTAATGGTATTCAAATAAATCATCTTCCCTGCTTTTACGTTTTCTCCCTGATGCTCGTGTCTGTGTACAGGTTGGTGGTAATGATGGCGAGCAAGGACGGCCATGTTCACTTGTAGGTAAGGGCCTCTCCTCCGGTACATCCTCTGGTCTATCCTCAATTATAACCTCAATTGCATCCCCTGGTTTATCTTCCGGTTTATCCTCCTGCTCCTCTGTATCACTAATTGGATCAACCTCAATCTCACTGAGCTTCTCTTCCCTCTCCTCTTTTGCCGCCTCAAGCTCATCCTGGGAGAAGAATTTCTCAAGAAGTGTTGCTTCCTGCTCCTCCATATCAAATTTCGTTTTACAAAGAAACATCATTAATGCCTCGACAGTCTCATTCTTCATTCTACCACGACGATAGTGACAAATATCTCGAGCGGTATTAAAGAGGCGTTCAACTCCTGCGCCAGTTGCTGGAAATGAGAGTGTATCTCGCGCAAGGGCAGCAATGGCCGGAAAGCGAGCCTGGTGCTCTTTCCAGAAAGTAAGCGGCCTAACAGAAACAGTATCTATTTATCTATTAGTATTATTATTGCATATACTCTTTGTATTTACTTACCGCTGTCAAGATATTGACTGATTTCATCAGTAATGGCTCGTGGTTGTATATCCCTTCTATCAAGCATCTCCTCTAGCCTTGAGCTTGGATGGGCTATCGTTAGAGAGCTTTGTAGATCACGACTGCTTGTTCTAACTTGTGCTTGATATGGAACAAGGGCTTGTTCAAAAGCAAGTCGATAGGTATCTCGCCATTTCTGATCCCAATCACTGGAGAGGAAGAATTTGAATTTGTTCACCGGTGCAAGCATTGTACTGATTGCATAGATATTCCCTCGAAGATCATCAGCTTGGGAGTAATACTCATCAAGCTTAGACCGACCAGCTTCAAGGGCCTCTAGCATCTGTTTCTTCCATGGGACACGCTTTCGGCGTAGCTGTGCCTGTGATCGCTCAAGATGATCAAACAGTTTGTTGTAGATCTTGAACACATAGTGGGCAGTGACATCTCGAGTCTTTGATAGCTGTGTTGTATAATCAAAGAAGGGCTCAGTGATACAAAGAAGATAGTCGATCTGACGCCACTCTTGCTCGCTGAGTAGCATCTCCTCACAATCATACTCTGTACAGAATAAAGAGAAGATAGCACGTAGCCTCTTTGCCCGGCGAAGCATGAGGAACGTAGAATTCCATCGTGTCTTTACATCTTGGATTGGAACGATCTTGATATTAGTTGTCTGAAGATTGTAAAAGGTCTCTCTGCGCTGGGGACTTGCATTGACGTAAATCGCAAGATAACGGACTTTGTTCAGTGTGGAGGAGATCTGACTTTGCTTCGCATTTTCTTGGGCTAGCCTTGACTGCTTCTCCGTCCACCTTGTCTCGGCTGATTCATTTAATGGAACTGCCTTGATCCGAGCAAGAAGCTGATTTAGGCTGAGCTGGATAACGTGGGCAAGACATAGTATTCGGGTGGTAATAGTATCATCTGACAAAGCCTGTTGGAGAGTAGTAGCTAATGTCTTGTTGTTTGATGCATTATCTGTTGTCAACCCGAATACTTCATCTTCAATGTTGTGCTCCACTAGGGTTTCTATAAGAACACTACTTAGGTAAGAGCCGGTATGTGTACCATGAAGCGGCTTAAACCCAAGTAGTACCTCACGATATACCCAATCACTGTCAATGAAATAGCCAGTAATAGCCATAAATGCCTGCGAGAATGGAGATGTCCAGCAGTCAAGCGCAATGGATATCTTTGAGCCAGAAGGCAGCGTACGAAGGATACGCTGCTGCCGGTCTTTGACTAGACTGCCCAATCGGCGACGGATGGTATCGGTAGATAGGATCACTGGAGGGGATGGGGCGGAACGAGCTTTATTGATGATGCGTAGACCTTGCCAACTCCCACCATTTGGTCCCATGGGAGTGCCAAGAGATGGGACTAAGGTACCCAGTCCGGTCCCATTGGACTAAGATGGGACTCCCATGGGACTGTAAACAATGCAAACATGCAGAAAAACGTGACCTGCATAAGATATGAAGAAATGCCCTGTATTAATAGGTATTTGGCTTACAGTGAGAGTAGAGTGCGCCGCAAACCCAAACAATACTTTCTATAACTAGGTTTTCTGACCGCGGTCAGAATATATGCTTATTTAGCTATTATAGGCTTTTAACAGCCGTTAGAATATATACTGAATTTCTGACCGCGGTCAGAATATAGGGTGATATAGAATCTAATGATTGAACTATCTAGTATACTCGTATATATCATTATCCCTACGCCTCTTCCGATCTGTTTGGGGTCGAGCTTGACTTGTACTATCAATGACAATAAGAGGCAATGGATGTAGTGACGAATCATCATCTGACTCCTCAGCAGCCTCCTGATCTGTATCAACATCAACATCTCCAACTTCATCCAAGCCCTCGCCATCTTCACCCTCGCTAATTCCCTCTAATGTAGACTCAGGAAGTTTCGCTTCCCTCGCCTCATCAACCTCCGTCCTTTCGTCTGGATTCAGAATAGATTCAGGTTGGAAATCTTTACCAGTTTCCTCGCTCTCAACATCAAACTTAGATAAACAACGGAGCATCATTAGATCCCGGATTGTTGCTTCGTTTAATGACCCTCGTCGATAATGGCAGACATCGCGAGCAGTACTAAAGAGGCGCTCAACACCTGCACCGGTGGCTGGGATAGAGAAAATATCCCGTGCGACCGCTGCGAGTGTCGGAAATCGATACTCATTCTCTTTCCAGAAGTGGCATGGGTTGATTAAGCTCTGTTCTATATAGGATTAGATTAGTCAACTTATGATCATGATCATATAAACATACCAGTATTAAGATATCCCTTCAGTTCTTCTTGCCACCCAGTCTTCGGCTGCGGTAGTGGCACTGGCTGATCCTCTTCGAAAAGACTCATCATTGCATCTGTACTATGCGAGGAGGACTTTACACTCGTAAGCACTTGCTTTTCTGGCTGGCGTTTTGAGTATTCCTCCAAGTGCTTATGAAGAGACGTCTCATACACATCATACCAGGAGTAGACTTCGGCACAACCCATTCTAACCCGGACCCAACCCAACCCAACCCAACCCAAAGTGGGTTTTGGGTCCATTACTTCAACCCATTGGGTAACCCATTGGGGCCCCAATATAGTGCAAACAAAACAAACAAAAAATTTATATAGTTGAAATTCAAAGATTTAAATATATATATATCTAGCATAGTAATTGAATTCCAAAACAATTTTCTATAAAAAGCATTTTATACTATTAAAAAAGTATATTTAAAAATGCCAAGACTTAGATTTTATGAATTTTATGAATTTTTGTAAAAATGGGTTCAAATGGGTTATTATTGGGTTATTGGGTTTAACCCATTGGGTTTTGGGTTGGGTTGGGTTTTGGGTCGGAGTCTCCGACCCAAAATGGGTTCTGCCGAAGTCTAACCAGGAGGAATCCATTCCATCGACATCACCTGCCCATTCTGGCCCTTTGAAGAATTCAAGCTTATGCTGGGGTGCAAGAATTGTACCAATTGCATATAGGCTACCATGTGCTTGCTCAGTCGCTTTGTAGTACACTGATAGTTTCTTACTTCCGGCCTCAAGGGCCTTCAGCATAGCCTTTTTCCAAGGCACTTTCTTTCGTCGAAGGCGGGCCTGGGCCTGCTCAAAATGGGTAAACAGTCGGTTGTAGACCCGGAACACATCATGTATTGTTGTCGCCTTAATCTTTGATAGGCCAACGGTCCATTTGTAGAAAGGCTTCGTGATATGGAGCAAGTATTCGATCTGCCGCCACTCGCTTTTACTTAGCCGGAATTCTGGGCGCTGATGTTCTGCGCAATATCTTTGGTAGCTACCGGAAAGTCGATTGGCACGCTGGAGCATAAGATATGTTGAGTTCCACCGAGTTCGTACATCCTGGATCGGAGCAAGCCTCGGTTCTTCACTTTGTAGATTTAGAAATGCCTCCCGTCGCTGTGGACTGGCATTAATAAAAACCGCAAAGGCCCGTACCTAGTAGTATAGTGGTTAGTATGAAATGAAAACTGTTGGAATGCTTTAATTGCTTTACCTTAGCTAGCGTGTAAATGATTCCCTTTTGTCTCTGTCTCTTTGCTTGTTGAAGAATACTCCCGTTTTCTTCTGACCAGACTGTTGCCGTTTTATCGTTTTTTGGATCAGCCTTCATCAGGCCAAGGAGATCTTTTAGACTCAATTGAATCACATGAGCAAGACATGGAACCCGCACAATTTCGGTGAAATTAGGAAGCTCCATCCGTTCGATTGAATCACATAGACTATCAACCAAGGTTTTGTTGTTTGACGCGTTATCTGTAGTGATTGCAATTACTCGATTTGTAATATTCTGCTGCTGAAGAACCTCAAGGAGAATGTCTGCGAGATTAGAGCCTGTGTGCTGGCCGTGAACTGGCATAAAACCTAGAAGGATCTCATGGTAATCCCAATTGGTATCCACAAAATAGCCTGTGATTGCTATAAATGCCTGTTGGAAGGGCGAAGTCCAACAATCAAGGGCAATTGATAACTTTGCTCCAGCTGGGAGTAGAGAAAGAAGCTTTTGCTGCTCTGTGTGGACGATTGACTGAAGCCGACGCCGCGCGGTCTTTGGTGATAGAAGGGTAAGCTTCTGTTGAGAAAGCTGAGCCTCTGTAATAAGATCTTCGAATTCTTTATGCCGGAGGACCTCGAATGGAAGACGTGAGTTCGCTATGAATTTGACTTGAGCTCTTTCGAATCGCTCTTGGTCAAAGACCTTGCGGGTAGTTGGGCGAGTGGTCTAAATGTAATAAAAGTATTAGAATTGGATAGATAGAATGCAGAATCAGATGTATATAATACCGCAAGTTCGAGCGATTGCTGTATATCCTGTTGTATAGACCCCTTTTTTGATGCAGCTATACATGTGCGACTAGATAAATGCGCAGCGAGTGACTTCGAACCATTTGCTGATGAGGATGGGTGTAAAATTGCTTTTCCACATCTCCGACAGAGTGCCATTGGTTTCCCAGTTTGGAAGTGGGCTACTTGATCAAAGTGCTCCCAAGCGGTAGAGGTATACCTTGCATCAAAGTTCACTTTGCGTAGCGGAGGGTATGGTTGTGCACCTGCTGTATGACGCCACCACTCAATAAAGTCGGCTTTATTCATTGAAGTCCAAAGAACCCAGAACTTTTGATGTTTAGGACCGATACGACGGAGGGTTAGAGGAATCGGATTAGGCTCTGTTTGGATGATTGAAGATTCGGGCCCGCTGTAGATCGGCTGCTGGCTAATTGAATGATCTGGCGTAAGGGGCTCGTCAAGGATACCAATACTATAGACTGAAGAAGGTGGAGGGTTTCCCGCTTGGGAGAACGAAACCTGGGATGATGGGCCAGCCTCAGCATATAGTTCATATTGAGACAT